TCAGGATACACAGGGCCCGGCAGGCAGAGAAACAATCATGACTGCACTCACCCCTGCAGCAGGATCAAAGCCAGGAGAAAAATCAAGACAAAGCACAGGTTTTGTCTCTTCAGTTTCTGAAGAGAAAACTCATCAGGAGAAAAAGTAATTAGTGATACCATATTCAGGAAAGTCAACTCACCACAGGAAGAGTAACATTAGGGTTGCACAATTACATATTATGAAGCCAGAAAAGCCCCACCAGTAACAAGACAGAAATTGCACCTAATGTTTCTCTAGATTGTAAGAAGGAGTCAAAGGCAACAGCTACCTTCCCACCATCATCTCATACAAGTGAAAGAAGCCAGAAAACAAAAGCCCATGCGTGCATAGCACAAGATCAACAGAAAAAAAAACTCAGCAAAAAAAAAAACCCCTTTACTTTCAGGCAAGTAAGCTGTACATAAAAGTCACTTGCAGTAACAGGGAGCAGCAGTCCCCTGCTCCCTTTCTGTTGCAGAACTACTGGCTCAAGCAAGTTTTGAGACGGAAAGTACCTAATTTTTCATTATAAAGAATGAAGCTCAGGTAACGGTATTCAAAAGCCATTGGAAGAATCTGAATACGGAGAAATCAAATCCAGTTTTGACTCTAAGGAAGTTCATTTCATAAGACTGTGGTCACCTTTGTGCAAACATAGTTACAGCTACTGTCACAAACAGCACTGCAAGATTCAGCACGACTGCTGAAAGCTGCAAGAGTGCAATATGATTTCACAATTTGCATCAGTGGGAAAACCCACCAAAGTCCTCTCTGTTCAACCACACCACCACAGCAATCAGTAGGAAGAAAGAGATCCCATGTCAATGATTGAACACGCTTTCCTCATTCTCTCATTCCTCATTCTCTCATAAGGAAGGCACTGTCATTTCTTTAAACAGAAGCCAGGAACACTGGTCATTTTCAGGCTTTTATTAAGAGGAAAAAAATATATTTTCTATAGCAGTGGTCAAGAGCAAGCAGTGGAAAAGCTACAGATGTGATGCATACTGTATCATTAAAGACTCTTCATAAATAGACTCTGTTTATATTTGTTCTTTGAAGTAAGTTCTTTTTCACCACCCTCACAGGACAGCAATGTTGGCTGTAATGTCAATGAAGACAATGTAAATTATTTTCTTGCAGAAATAATTTATTTTGCAGCTTTCCAGCACACAGTCACACCAAAGACATCATCTAGAAGAGAAAGAAAACACAGCTTCACAAAACATGGATTTCCACTGGATATTGAGCAACAGTTCAACAATCAACAAAAAAAACCCAGCACAAACCCACAAAAACCAACTCCCATGTGCCCTAGCACCAGAAATCTAAACTGAGGTTTGGATCTCTTAGCAGATGACAGAGGCAGCACCATTCTCACTGCTGAAGGGTGACTCACAGAGGCTGTGTGCTGCCAAGGGTTTCACCACCCTCACAGGACAGCAATGTTGGCTGTAATGTCAATGAGGATTGCTCTGCCTTCTCTTTCGTAAGGGCAACACCATCATGAACACTACTCTGGGCCTTCCAGGGCACCAGCTGAGGTGCCAGGGCACTTTAGAGGCAGAGATCCTGAAGGCTGTACTCACCCCACTCAGTCCTGCTCATCTCACTCATATCTTGAAGCCCAGAGCTCTCATACACTCTTTGTGAGCTTCAATTAGGTGCCCACAATTTTCTTCTCCCTTCTCAATAATGCTGCAAAACAAAAAGATTTCCAGGGTTCAGCAATAAAATATTCACTTTCTTTTAGCTAAAGAAACAGAACTGACAAACTGTTGGGGACAATTAAAAATCCCTATTAGGATCCAGAGATACTTTTTTTTTCTATCCTGTCAAGGGAACTGCTGTTCCAGACAATGTAAAACCATCCCAAAAAGTTTCCCAAGTCTGGAGCTGTGCACTTAAAACTCTGACAACAGGCATAACAGAACTTCCTGTTAACAGGCCAGGGTCTATTCTGGGCAAGTCCGGATGGGGATTTGTTATACAACACAAGGCTGTCACATCATCAAGTATGCTGAGCTGGCCAGTTTCAAATTATCCAGTAGGGAAGCAACAAAATTTCTCCAGTAAGAGAACAATATAGAACAGATTAATCAGTAAATGATATTTTAGTCCAACTTCAGTTGCAATTAAAGGACCCTGAAGCAAAAAGCAAAACAAAACACAGCACCTATCCAGCTATTGTTGAAAAAATTATTCACCATACATGGTAACTTTTGATGTTACTCATCTACCCAAGTAAGAGCCTCTCATTGTTGGTATATCAGGTACACCACAAAAGAAGTTCAGACTTGCTTTTTGACTGAATGACAGAGCTGTTAGGTTTGTTCTTAGTTTTTTTTTTAACAATGAGCATAGACACGTCCCCTGGCTGCCCAAGGCAACTCCATCTGACCAGTAACATCCATCCTACTATCCTTTCCTTAGGGGACCCTGGATTCACCTCTACTCTACCATGTAATTAGCCATGCTCCCCTAAACTTAGCAAAACCAGTGTTCAGTATTATGTCACCTACCATCTATACCATCAGCAAAGTGAAAAAAAAAAAGAGAGACAACTTGGTCATCAGATTAAAGTTTTTTAAACTTTAAAGATTCACTGTAAAAGAAGCTCCATTTTGAGGATGCACTTTATACAATTTTATAGGTCCTATGATCATGACTAAGCCTATAATTACCAAAGCAGCTATACAGGTCACTGCCGAATTTTGAACTTCTCCGGAAAATGTCATCCTCTGAGACTCAAAAAAAAAACCCCAGAGTATTTTGCTTTATTTAAAAGAGAATGTAACTTATACTCAGGTGAACAATAAAGTTTTCACCTGCTGGTACGTGTCGCTTCAATCAACAAGAGTGAAGATTTACAAGCAGCATTAAAAGCTGATCTTTGAAACCTATTTTAAACACGGGCTACGAAGGTTTTAAACTCTTCGTTTCTAAAGTATCCTTTTAAGTTTTCTCTCCCTATTCACACTGTCCCTCCTCCCTCGGATGCTCCAGCACCCTCCGTCCGGGATGGAGCGCCCCCAGGATGCCGGGCGCACGAACCCCTGGAAGGGAGGGAACGCGGCGGGCAGGGCGCACACCCGGGGGAAGGGGGAAGGCCCGGCCGCGAGGGGCGGCCGCGGGGAGCCCGGGGCCGGTCCCTACCAGGCGTCCCGCGCCTTCTTGGTCTCGGGGCAGGCGCAGCAGGCCTTCAGCGGCTTCTTCTCCTCCCGCGCCTCCCCCGCGCCCTTGCCGTCGCAGCTGGCGGCGGCCATCGAGGACATGGCGGGCAGTTCCCGGCTCCCTCAGCCCGCGGGGAGAACGGGCCGGCGGCGGCCGTGCGAGCGCGGCTGGTTCCGGGAACCTCGCCCGCCCCTTCCCGGCCCGCGGCCTGCCGGGAGGGGTGAGTGCGGGCCCTCCTCCCGCCGCTGCCCCGCCTCTTCCTGGCCGTCACCCCGAGGCGAGCGTGGGCGCTGCCGCACAGTGGCGGGGCGAAAGTGACATTTTCCAGGGACACGCAGTACTGAACGAGCCCGAAGGGGAAGGAGGGAGCTGGCAGCGGGGAGGACAAGTGGCTTCGTCAGGCGAGAGCAGCTGGCTCCCGCCGCAGTCAGCAAGCGCAAGTGACGCCCTCGGCTCTGCCAGCGCCGGGCTCCACCCTGAGAGTTGTGGCCAGCCAGCTAAACCGCTTTCTTCCTACTCAGCCAGTGGGGAAAACAGAGGATCAGTTCATTGCGGGGGGGCTACACGGACACAGCACAGTCACCATCACTGGGATCGTTAATGTCACGGTTTCATGGCAGCGGCCCAGCAGGGCCGGCCCTTGGCATTGCTGCAAAAGGATGTGCCCTGATGCTTGATCTTTCATGCTTTCAAGCCTAAACAACAAGAAGGGATATTTAGTTTGTGAAACAGAGAGCAACTAACGAGCTCCAAGTGCTGTCCATGCTTGACAAGCTTCAGTGATCTCAGACCTTGGGGGGGAGTAACAAATCTTGGAAAGAAGAATGTGCACTGATACTGGACACAAAGAATGCAGAATTTACAGGCCAGAAGGACATCTGACAGAATTCCCAAGATGAGGAAGAAAGTAATAAAGCCAACTCAGCCATTGTGCTAAAATAGCTCCAACTGGGTAAAAGTTAATTCTGGTAGGGGGAGATGGTGACCACCAACTCAGGTACCACTGACTCCAGAAACCCACTGACTCAAGTAGAAGACTGAGCATGCAGACTATATTGCATGAAAAGTGAGAAAATCGTTAACCAATGGAAGATAGAATACTAATTTATAAGACAACTATGTAACTTGTAGCCAATGAAAACAAATGCCTTTGTTTGCTAAAATGCATAAATAGTAAAAAGCTTTGGTAGTTGGTGTGCTTGATCTGTGGAATACCACAGAACACCCAGGCTTGCACAACTCTAAAATAATCAATGTCTTTCTTGAGTGTGTAATTACTAGGTTGTTGCACACCAGGTATAGTTCAACTTTTGTGGACAAAAGCATGGGCAATAAGGGAGAAGATACAGAGTTGCTTTTCCTTTGTAGTCTGTCCCAAACCAAGGCATCAGTAGCCACTTTTGCCTTTTAGATTTCTGCTACATACAAGACACAGTTTGACTCTTAGGCCATAGTTTGTCACCTCCCAGTGCTACATTTGTGTTTGCCACCCATCCTGACCTCCAGCATGATACGGACACTAGACTGGCAGGCACACTGCAGACCAAAGGGATACCCCTCACAGGCAATGGGGGAAGGGCAGGACAGCAGTGGATGTGACACTGCTGAGACCTTGCAAATGGAAAAGATTAATATGCCCACGGGAATGCAGCTGCTCTGTCTTTTAGTGGGATGTTGCAAGAGTCAAAAAAGAACTGGTAGTTTCTAGTGTGTAGTAAAGGGATCCAAAATCGTAGGAACACTGACAAGAACAAGGAGGAACAGAAAGTGTCATGTACTCACTCACTCACCTAATCACCACTGAATTATCCATGGATCTCTGCTCAGTAGCCTCTTCCCCACTATGCCATTTGTCTGGCAAGGTTGTTCAGGTGACCTGCACCCACACAGCCTCCTGGTTCAGCACACGTGCATTGTGAGGCCATGCAGCCAGGTGTGATGATTTGGAACATATACAGGTTGCACTTGTTGACCAAAATATTATTTTCCCAAATTCACACAAACACACTGCAAGATAAAAGCTGAGATTAAAACATCTATCAAAAGCACTCATCAGTTCTCCAAAGCAGTGCCTTGTTCCTGTGTTTGTTAAACATACTAAGCATGTTTTCCTTTAAAATTAAATAGCTTTGTCTTTCCTTCCTAAAGCTTTATCTGCTGGCCACTTTCCAAAGGCCTAGATAGGGCTGTTGATAGGTCTATCTAACACAACTCTGAGAGAAAGACTGTAATAAAACCTCCAAGAGGATTTCTCAAGTTTGCAGTTGAATGGTATCTATTATTTAGCTTTTTGAATATTAAAAAGAAAGTTTGAAAGACATTGATTTGGCCTGTAGAAACAAGGAAGACACAAACCAAAATACATTTTGTACTCTGGCCCAAGTTATGGAATGCCAAGGGCAGAGAGAGGTTAAAATTTAGTCATCTTGAGAGATGACTTCAGATGGGTCTGCACAAAGGTATGGCCTCTGAAGACTAAACATCTCTGGAAGCAACATTCCACTCCAGCAGCCTTCCAAATAGATTAAGGAGGACCACTGCTATTTTGGCCGTGTTCCTTGCAGGGTAACAGTTTGTAACAGAATTGCCCCAGAAGAAGGAATCATTTATTGGTGGGATGAAAGTACAGAGGCTGGAAGGGAAGAGAAGGAAGAGAATATCCATTAAAGCATGGTTAACACATTTTGATACTGATTACACCAATTTGGAGTACAATGCAGAGGTGAGACCACAGCCATTTCTCTTCTGACATTGCATTGTGCATAAGAATTGATTGTTAACTCAGTGATTTTTGTTTTCTATTTGTCCTCTGCTTGCTGACAGTGGCAGAAGAATTATGTTAGAGAGCTATGTGTCAGAATGAACAGATTTATCTAGCAGACAAGAAGGAATAGCTAAGGGCATGCTACTGAGATGAGACCGTGGGAAAATTGTTGGAACAAGTACCCAGGAAAAAAGATCCAGTGAAAATCTGAGTCTCTGAAAGAGATAATAAGAAAAGACCCTCCCTCAAGCTGCCATATAATTTGGCAGCCTGGTGCCACATGTGAGAGTACAAGGACTGCAGGTAGCACTGGACATTTACAGCTCTTGACTTAGAGGACTAATGAGTGAAATAGGGAGAGACTACCCAGCTGTCATGGGTTTCTAAATTATTTCCCCTGTACAGCCTTTTATCAGAATTGAAGAACATACGGCAGGGGCTCATAATGTGTGAATATCACAGCAGCACTGCAGACATTGCCGTTGGCTTCCTGTGTCTTCAGTTTCACCTACTAAAAGAATGATTACCCAAAAAAATATCTACTTGTCTCCAATGAACAGGTTTTTCAAGAAACCTCAAAAATGTATTTATATTCATTGTTACTGTTAGGTTGGGTAATCCCCTGTCATTGTCACTTGAAAGTAACAGTCTGGGGTAGGCTGGGGTTTTCCAGATTTTTTATACTTCTGATATACATGATAGAAGGTACATTAAGCAGTGGAAATTTTGTGTGATGAAACTGGCCTGAAGGTATGTTGGTATTTTCCATGTAGTGCCTATTCTGGGAACCACTTTATCATCTTGAAAAAAGAAGCCTGTTCAATATAGTCTAAAGAAGTATTTTTGGTTTTGACTGAGTATAAACATAAGACAGCCAATGCTCCAGCAGCCCAGTCAACCATATGCTGTGTTTTACTGTCAAAAAAGTTGTTTGTGGTTTGTGTCAATGCTTAGATAACGTGAAAATATATGATTTCAATGCTCTGAGCAAGATGTCTCGTCAAGACCTGTTGCCTCTTATATTAACTGCCCAAGAACAGGATAGAGTTTCTCTTTCTGATCAGAGTTGCAGATCTGCAATTACCAAATGCTATCACTCAGCAGTGGCACCAGAGAGAGAATGAATGCTGGGACAGAAGGGCTTATGCTCCAATCTAGTACAATGGAAGAGACTCTAAGGTCATTATTTACACCCCCTCTAAGCTCAACTCCACCTTTAGGTGAAGGCAAGGGGTTCAAACACTGGAGTGATATCACCTCAAGAAGCAGTGCACCAGTCCCTTCCCAGACTGAAGAGGCAAATCCTCATGTTTCAGGACTACAGCATGAATTCTGTACACAAGGATTCTGTACCACAGGACTGAACCATCCCCTTCCTGGGAGACCACCTTGGAAGTTAGTATGGAGGAAGTCTCCTTGCACTAGCAAGCAAGCCCTTAAAAACACAAGAGCAGAATCAAGATTACTTTAAAAGCTTTTGTGTCTTTTGAATGCTCTACAAACCCAGTCCTACAACAGCTCCTCTCTTGCCAGAAACACAGCCAAATCTTCAGAGCATCAGCCTGGAGGTGGAAGGCAGTTTGAAAGGATGAAGTCACTTTCCAGTTTAAAACCAGAACTGCTGTCTCTAACAGCAATACTCAGCCCACAGCATCCCAGACATTCTGGGGTCTCATGCCGGGACCAGGACTCTGGTCCCACCCTCCCCAGTAAAGAAGACAGTGACCCTCCTACGAGCTTTGGTATAAACTTAAAAGGTATGAATGCCTTCCTCACATTGTTTTCTGCACATCTCTCACCAGTTTGTGCTAGGATTAGGACTATCATCACTTTCATACTATGCCCCTTCTTGTCACTGTCCATTGAAAGCATATCCAAACATATAAGTAAAGATGAGGAATTTGCCATGCATGCAGCACTGCAAAATCTGGATCAGTGAGGTCAGTATGCAGTCTCCCTGGTAATAAGGCAAAAGAAGGAAGCTGCTGTTTTGTTCTGCGCCACAAAATAACCTGCCTGCCCCACATATGTTAGAAGCAGGAACTATGAGCCTTTAGACACAAGACATGTGGCAGCTTTTCCACAAGGCAGATATGCAGCAGCTGATGTTCAATGTGCATTTAAAGGCTGGTCAGGCTTATTTCAGTGCTTGCTGGGGTGACTGACCAGCTGTTCCCTTTTGTGGAGGGAACACCCACAAAAATCTGAGCATTTTGGAATAAATCTTATTGCACAGACTCATGGGAAGGACAGGTGTTTGCACTCAGATGGCTGCATCTGTTACCAACACAAGAAAAGAGCATGACAGAAGACAACTGTCTGTTTTCTGATAGTCTCTACACATACTAATTTAGAAAATTTTAATCTGCACCTGGGAAATAACACCACTAGTCCCTCAAAAGACATGAATCTGCAATGGACTGTCCCTACACTGCAGTCAGGCTCACTGTTTTTGGGTAAAAATCAGAAAAAAATAGCCCAGGTTTAAAAGCACTTAGGAATGAAGCAGATATACATTAGTCACCCGTGGGGAAATTTTTCTTTCTCCCAATATTGCAGAGTTACCCAAGACAGTGGCCTATAAAGATCTTTCCAAAGAGGAAATCTCTTCCATTCTCAGTTCTCATTATTTGAAAGAGCAGGATTTTCAAACTTCTGCAAAAAGACCTATATGAATTGTCAGAACTGAGCACAATCAGACAGCTGAGCCACTGTTAATATAAACCACTACATGCACGCATCCCCAATTACTCACCTCACAAAAAACAAATGCAGACCCAAAGTTCTGTTCTTGTACATCACAGCAAACCTCATTCACAGCCCAAGTCCAGGAGCCTGTCCAGGAGAAAAAAAACATCTCACTGCAGTTCCATAAAATCATCCACAATACAAACTTCTTACCTTGATCCAGTCCAGTTCTGCTGCAAGCCAGGTAATGTTTCTGCAACTCTCGTGAATGGTGTTAAGCTGTCAGTCAATTGAGAAGCAGCAAAACTGTAGGTCCACTTCTTTTCCACTGCACACATTCAATTTGTCCTTTTTTTTTTCCTGTAAGTTTTGCTGCTATTAACAATTTTGTTCTGCTTGATGGCAGGCCATCTTGATGCCTGTGTCAGTGGTAAACCTGGCTTGTTTGAATCCATTCAAGTCTCTCATTGTCATATTTTATGACATGTGAAGCTCCACTACAGAAAATGGTTTAACATTCTCAATGAACTGCAGGACCTGACTGGAAGCCTGGAAGGAATCATTATTATTTACAAAGACATGAGTCATTCCATATTTGGGATGTCACTAACTGCAGCTTCATACTTCTATGTACTCACATTCCAGCATCTCACTTCTTTTAAATGTTGTATCAAGACACATGCTGTGCAGTGCTGCAAACTGCTTATAAAGAGCCTGCAACATCACATACCTTCTGAACCCATCCAGAATCCCCACAGCTGTTTTTCACAAACTTACTAGCTAATGTGGAAAGTTCAGTCACTCTGAAGCCGTTTCTTTCACATCAATGGTAATTCTATATTTCAACTTTGAGCACCTCATTCATTTGCACTTGTTTTCTTCTGCTTTTCTTTTTGCTGATCTTCTTCTCAAGGATCTTTAGAATCCTGGGTCCCACCAAAATCAATGGGACTTGACTATTAAGTGCTCAATGGTCAGATTTTAACAAGCATTAGGACATCTCCATATGCAGGTGGAGAGATTTTCAAGAGAGCCTAGTTACACTGACATCTTCCTTAACACATTATGTATCTGGAGTACAATTATTTTTTTAGAAGTGACATGGGAACATATGTCATCTACATGGCAGAAAATTTAATCTAAACACTCAGCTCAAGCCCACATCCTCACTATTTTGCCCTGACCTTCAATATGTTGTGCAGTGTTTTATCTAAGCACTGTCTTAGGTTGGTACTTACTCTTTATAACTCTACATTTTAATCCATGCTTCCTGTATGGTCTGGCATTAACTGCTCTAGTCCCTTAATTGAAATGAGAATGGATTCTTCAAGGTCTGGTTCTCTTCTAGGGATCCATGCATACAAAGACTTCGTATCAAAGAGAGGATGTTTCCAGATCAACTACTAGAGGCTGAGCTCTTATCACGTTCTCAGAGTTGGTATGTCAAGACAATGGGGATGTGCCCTAGATCCTATTTGGCTCAGTCTCCACCATGTGAGACTGGGAAGTGATGAGGGAAGGACTGTGTGTGTGCAGGCAAAGACAGAGGGGAAAGATAGGGGAATTTTCAAGACTGAAGGGAGTGCAGGCTGTGTTCTCTTACATGAGGGAAGTGATACTTCTACATCCTTTCCCAGTCCTTGAAAAAGGCGGTGTTGAGACCCCATCCAATTCTAGCTTTTTTCTGTCACTGGCCCCAGTGTCCTGTCACTGCTTCCTCACCTTTTTGTCTCTGGTAGGTCTGAACCCCTGGGCCCCTGGATGTATCCTAGCCCTCACCTGGCCTTCATCTGGTGGATTGCAATTAAAGCTGAGAGATGATAAGAAAATGCTGAAAGCTTTAATAGATTGTATTATGTTGCACTAATTGTTTAAGAGTAAATAAGAGTGTAATATATGGAAGAGTTTATACTGTGTCATAATAACCTGAAATTAATCTCTGCAGCACTTCTGTCCAGAAAGGAGTGGCTAAAATAATCACAGAAAATCAGGAGTTTCTAATGCTTGCTTCAGATCAGGGAAGCACAAAAATTCAGTCCCCAGAAAAGTGTCTTAATACACTGAAACTTGAACCTGCAAGCTAACACAATGGTATTGGCATTTAATCCTCTGAATATTACATGAGAGGAGTGAGAACATTAGAAATTCATTAGTTCCCTAAGGAGTTCAATCCAAGATCCTTTTTTTCATGAGGCAAGACAACATGCCTGACTACAGCCCTGCAAATCATCCAAATGTCAGCTCTATTCTTTAAGAATAATCATTTAAGAAGATGACCCAATCCAAGTGAAGTGAAGTATATGAGTGTCCTCCAGAAGATGCCTCAAGTGTTGGTAAAATTTGTATTTTGTCACAATTTGAACCATAGACTGAAAATGTTTTTAATTCTTTCTTCTTTTTTAAAAAACATTTAAAGTGCTAATGAAAATCATTACAAAAGTCTTTTAGCAGGCTTTGAAGTGAATTCTTTAACTGTGATCACAAAGTACTACTACTTCATTTCCTTTGAACTTTGAATTTTTAGGATATCCTCATCTGTGTGTATTGCTTTTATTACAGGAAATGTGCCCACAGTCATACTGAGAAAAAGAAGGCAAGAGAGAACAGGTCTCCTGTAAACACTTTCATCTATTTTTTTTTCGTTTCAGTTTTTGTATGAGAAGATGCCTCTCTTACCACGGCTCTTAGTAAAAACAGCACAAATTAACCACAGACTTCACCTGTGAAGCCCCGTTTACCACAATCAGTACTCCAAGGCCATTTTTACAAAAGATGTCACAAGTTACAAGTGAGGTATTCCACAGTGGTTACCATGCCTTACCATAGCCAAAGGTCAACACAGACACAAGGTCTCAATCCACAAAGCAGTAGATGTCACAGCATCTGTCTCCTCACATCTTTTTGACACTTACCCCTGCTTTCTGATGAGAATAGTGACCACATATGCCTCCTCCTTTTTGCTGACTGAAAGGAAGGCTCCCTTATTCTGGATTAAAAATTTAGCCATGACATTGACTGCAGCCTTGTGCTGCTGCTTTCCTTTTGAATCACACCCCTGGAAAAATGTTTATTACATCTGTGGAATGGACAGGGAACAAACAGGAATCCAAGGCATTACTTTGGATGGGTCCAAATCTATTTTACATCAATTCACGTTTGGATACAATAGCTGAACTGGTGGCACCCAGGTTGGAGCCTGTGATGGGCAGGACCACACATGGAGGAATTGTGACATCCTGTGGCAAAAATGGGAAATGGCACACAAACGGTTACGTATTTTAAATTACTTTTGGAACTTCCGGATATCAAAGCCTCAACAGTGCTTTCAAGGCTAGAACTTTGTTGCGTGTAGCATATATATATATATATTTTTTTTTTTTTTAATTTTTTTTTTTAATAACTAGAAAAGGTTGCCACAAAGTATCACAGGCATCCAGCACCATGACAGTGCTGTCATTTGACCCCTGCTAAGAGCAGAAGATGACCATCTACAGAATGAATCTTAAAACTAGATGAATGACATCTTGCCAGGGATTTCACAGATTGTCATGGATTGCAGGATAAAACTCACATTCAAGAAACCCTGTTTGCTCCCAAGCTTTGGAGGACAGAAGGAAAACAGACTAGAGACTCATCATCTGTTTAGCTCAACTTCTTTGCTTTATCCTCCCTAATCCTGCCTTTCCACACCCTTCCTCACTTTTTCAGCTCCTCACCTAGGTCTCTCCCATTTTCTTGTCCAAACCTCTTCAGTTCTGCTCTACTGGCTGCTCACCCTGTCTCTCCCTCCTCCCTGTGCCATTCTGGTTCTCTACCACCCCCCTCTCCTACTATTTGTTCTTTGCTTAGCCAGCCAAGTTTCCCCTCTAAAATCACGCACGCATGTCCAATCCATCTTGTCTTTGTTCAGCTACTGGTCTGCTCCCAACTAGTGCCTAATCCTACCCTGCTAAATTTTCTACTTTCCCCGGTCTGATTTTACAGTTCAAACACATCAGCAAGTCACACAGCATAACAAGTCCATCAACAGAGTAGCAGTAATTCATCTTGCAGAAAATTACACAATCTTATCTCAAGGTTAATGTGAGGTAAAATTAATTTGGCTCAGCCTTTGTCACAGGCAGCTAAACTAGTGCACTTTTCTGCCATTTTGCAACAGGCAAAGTTAATCCACTCAGACATTGTGCAGTAACTCTCAAGGGTGTGGACAGCTTATTCATACATCTGAGCACCTGGTGTGCCCTGCAGCAAAGTGGCTATAAAAAAAATGTCCAGATAGACAACACCCCAGCTCACCAATACAATCTTGTTCTGGAAAAGTTATTAATGAAAAAATCCCACCAAAAAACCAAACCCCAACCCCATGGCCCACAGATCTAAGCAGAAAGCTCATCAGTCATAGGAAATAGGAATCTTTTTTGATTGCTTACAGTTCAGTAAACTAGCATTCAAAGTTGACTGCAGCTCACTTTCACCAGAGCAACAGGATATGTCCCTGACATACACAGATCAAACTACCAGATAACCTTTGAGTACTTTTCCAAAGTACTGATCATAGAGAAGATTGCCAAAGTTTAATGCCTGGGATCAAATATTTCCTCAGAGCCTTGTGTATTTTGGAATATTTTTCTTCAGAAATGTATGGTTTAAATTAAAACCAGGTAAATAAATAAATAAACAAGATCCATTCAGACCAAACCTCACCACTCAGCCTTCACAGTGCATTCCACAGCACACAGCAGTGTGCTATGGGCCCTGGTCAGGTCTCACACAGCTTCAGGTCCAGAAGAACATGGAGATTTCAGGCAAAGAACACTCAATATAATAATAATCAACATAACTTTTAACACTTGTAAGGCTGTCCACTGTTTATACCTGTAGTTCACAGAGATTTCTTAGAAATATAGTTAAATATTAGCCAATATTTTACCCCCACACACACTATAATCAAAGCAAGTTCCAAAGCTCAAGCATAACCTTGAGCTTTATCACTCAGCCACATATACCTGTCACCTCCCATGAGTGAATACTGCTCTTCAGGCAGCTATGCAGTGACCTAAAAACTTTTATCTTTTATTTTTTGACAAGTTAGTTTTCAGCCACATCAGTCTCCAGAGTTGGTTCCCTACATAGTCTTTCAGGTGCCTGCACTCAACAGATCAGAGGCAGCAGGGCCAGGCAGCTCATGGTGAACAAAGAAAAATGTGCCAACATCTCACATTTAGTCCACTTTAATGCAGTAAAAGTTAAAAATGGGACTGCACCTTTTTGGTTGTACATGAGTCCAGAGAGTACTTACCTGTTTGGCTATCCCCTGGTATCTTGTAGGACTCTCAAGAATCCATTTAGTTATTCCATTGTTCCCTCTCAACTTGGTTTCCATCTGGATCCATTCTACATAAGAAAAAAAGAAGTCCAGGCCGCCTGTATTTAGTCATCTCTGAAAACCTTAAAGTGGAAAAATACCAGAGGGTGGAGCCAAAAAAAAGAATAATTTTTTGGCCAAAGTACAGTTTACACACCTCATTATCCCAAGGCAGATGTTCAGCATGGAAAAATTTCAGCTTGGAAATCATGATACAAGAAAGGAAAACTGAACTTGATAATGAGAAATGCCAGGGAACTCTATTGAAAAGTGGCTTTTGTTGCCACATCAAAAATTATAATAAGGTACCACACTGTAAAACTCCTTAGGAGAATCAGGGTCTTTACAGCCTGCTGGGTATCTTTAGGGCATGGATCAATCCATTGTGGGAAGTCACATCCTACAGATGTACAGATGTAGATGATGTCTGTCAGAAACAAAGCTGTGACAGCATTTCTTAGTTCAGACACATCTTCAGTTGACCCACTAACCTAAAAATGTTGTTGCTTCAGGCAAGGGATGGGCCTTTAAGAAAGTAAACTAGCATTCAAAGTTAAATTGTCTACAAGTAAATTCACAGTGCCAAGGAATTTGGAACTACAGTCCTAAAGTTGCTTTCCTGTAATGAGGTACTGAGGGGCCAGCATTATGTCAGACGTGACAAGCTGCGAATAACCCTTTGATATACGGTTTTATACACAAACTAACTAACATAAGGGACTTGCTTCAAGATTATAGACAGAGGAGAGGGCCCATTTTCAATTTCTCTGGTTTTTGCCTATTCCTAAGCAGCGCTGCCTGCAAATCTCCTTATGTTCACAAAAGCATTAGCCTTTTCTGGTTTTAACATTTAGCATGAAGAAGCTTCCAACTTTGTTTCTTACAGAAAAGGATGACCCCCTCCTTGAGGAAACAGCAATGTTTTGCAAAGCATGATGTTTATTTGTAACACTTTTTACAAGCCTCTTGAGATGCTCTACAGATGAAAAAACCCTGCAGCCTCTCTGGGCAGTATGTACCAAGTCTATTTTCACAAAACCAGAGAAGCAGTTAGGTTGGAAAAAGACCTCTGCGATCACTGAGTTCAACCCATGGTCAAACACCACTGTGTCAAACAGACCACGGCACCGAGCGCCACGTCCAGTCTTTCCTTGAACACCACCGACAGTGATGCTACCACCTCCCCGTGCAGTCCATCCCAGTGTCCAATTCCTGCTAATGTCCAATCTAAACCTTAAGGCTGTGTTCTCTTGTCTTGTCACCTGGTTGCCCGGGAGAAGAGGCCATCTCCAGCTTTACCACTCTCTAGAATTCCTTTCAAGGAATTCTAGAGAGTGGTAAAGTCACCAAGGCTCCTTTTCCCAGGGTCCAATTCCTGCTAATGTCCAATCTAAACCTTAAGGCTGTGTCCTCTTGTCTTGCCACCGGTTGCCTGGGAGAAGAGGCCATCTCCAGCTGGCTACACCTTCCTTTCAAGGAATTCTAGAGAGAGGTAAAGTCACCAAGGCTCCTTTGCCCCAGGCTGTTTAGCCCCAGCTCCCGCAGCCACTCCTCGCAGGACTTGGGCTCCAGACCCTTCATCAGCTCCCTTGCCCTTCTCTGGACTCACTTTCACCACTTTACAGCAGCAGAAGTCCTAGGTGACAACAAGCAAAACCAAGAATAAGAATATCCAGCCTTGAACCCTGTCCCTGAAACTGCTAAACCAGATTTCCTAAGCACTAAGCGAGGGTCCCGGGAGCACCACATGAAACAACTCCAGCAGCAGCTGCTGCAAAGCAGAAATACACGTGTGTCCTTCCTTTCCCGGCCTCGCCCGTGCCCTGTCCTCCTCCAAGTCCAGCCACATCCCGCGCCAGCGCCGCTCTCCCGGAGGCGCCACAAGATGGAGGCGGCAGGGCGACGCCTCAGGGCGCTGCGGAGAGCGGGCGCGCGTGCTGCACGGAGCAGGAGCACAAGCAGCAACACCCGGGAGCGGCAGGGGAAAACCCCGAGGGGCGCATTTGTCCCCGGTAGAGTCACGATCAGCCGCCCCCAGGGCCGGGCAGGGCAGGGTCCGTCCCGCAGCAACGTCGGGCCGCAGGGGAGGGACATTCCCGGCCCCGCCCGCCCGCCTGCCGTGGCCATGGGAACGGCAACCGTGCTAGAGCCGCCCGGCGGGGACGGGCTGCCGGCCGGACCTTCGGCTGCTCCTTCGGTACCGGGCCTGGCCGAGACGGCAGCGCTCTGCCCGCGGCCCCGCCCCGCTGCAGCCCCGGGCGGCGGCCCCGGTGCGGCCAAGGCCGAGCCCTTGGGTGGGCGCGGGGCCGGGAGCCGGGCGGGACGGGGCGTGAGGCCTCCCCCGCCCCAGGGACCCCCTGCCCTGGGCCCGGGGCCCTCGCCGAGCTCGGCACGAGGTGGGTGCCGCCCGAGCAGCGGGCAAGCGAGAGGGCTGGCGGCTCCAGCGAGGCTGGGACCATGGAACATTAGCTGGAGCAAAGCCAGCTCTGTGTCCCAGGGGGAAACATCGTGTACAGTATGGTATTTCCAGTGATTACCGTTGCACCATGCCTTCCTTTTAATGTTTCATGTCATCACATTTTCTGTTTAAGTTGACGGTGCCTCCAAAGAAAGCAGATTTTTCTACTGGATTTTTCACCTGTATCTTCCGCAGAGCAGTAGGATTTCAGCTCTGAGGCTCATTTGCATGATGGTGACATCTGTTTGATACAGAGACATGTATTTCAGTTCTTTCTTCCTAGTTTGTTTTATACTCTCTCTTATAGACAGACTTTTAAAGAAGGAGGTGGAGCCTGATGATTCATGCTGATCCCTCAAATATGAAACTAGTTACGTTTGTTCACTTGTCTTTCAGACCCTCTGTACACACTGAAGTGAGAAGGACCCTCCAAAGTCAAATGTCCATGCTCAACTCGGTGATAGACTGGTAGGTATTGGCCAAAGACAGCTCACATGTTCACCTTGTCTTTTTCTGCATACACATGGGTAGAACCTCTGTCTCAGTCCTTAGCTGCTCCCTTAAAACAGTAAATTACAAAGCAGAGAAAGAAGTTTTATCTAAAACAAGACAACACAGGGAATAGTCATGATTGCTGGGCTATGGTGAAACACCAGCCTAGAAATACCCAGCTTCACGTTCTGAGTAATTTCCTAAGCTGTGTGTCAGTATTTTTAATAGTGTATCTTCAAATGCTGTTAATTATAGCATGTATAAGTTACTTAGATCTAATAAAATAAGTGGGCAGCTGCTGGGCTGTTGTTCAGGCAGAGCTGTCATTTCACACAGTTCCTTACTTACCTTGGGAGATACTTCTGCTATGGATCCATGTAGCCTATTTAGACTAAAATTAAATATCTAGCAACATCTAAGCAGCCAATAAAGATGTGCAAATCCATGCTGGTTCGTCATACAGAATTAGCAGAGTTTAACTTCCTAGCCAATCCTTACCTAGCTAGCCCATGCTTAGCTTCCTACTGCATTTGCTTCCCTGCTGTCAGTATTCCCCTTAGCTAGTTTTAAACCAGCTAGGGCATGCCTGTGGGGGTTGCAGTCACACCTTCAGACAGCAGTGATTGATAGCTGCACAGGATGCATACAGGTAGAATGCTAGAGGAAAATAGACTTGGTGCAACTGCACAATGAATTGGATTTTAAACAGAATCCTCCTGAAGCCAGGCATGTGACTGAGGCTGCAAGACAGATCCTCTGAACTCAGACTTCATTGCTGCACAGCAAGGAGAAAAGCCCTGAGCAGCTTTCCAGCAATGGAGTCAAGGAACTTTTTTTTTTAAAGAATGTTGCTGGATATTTCTTACTGCGTTATCTCAGAATATTTCTTGTATCTGCACAAAAACAAAAAAGTGTTTGTCTGCTTGTCCCCAGAGAGACAGACCTGGGAACATTGCCTGTCATCAGTGAGACCCTTTTAACAATGTGGCTGTTCTAACAGTTCAGGCCAGATGAAGTAAACAGGCATCCTATCACTAAAGTTGTCATGTCACAGGTGTCATGGTGCACATGGGTGTGGTGGCAGACTCTTGCATAAAACATGTTTTAGAATCAATCAGCAAGTGTATAATGTGCAATTCAAAACCCTACATCCTTGAATTCTTAATCTGTAGCTTCACAATTTGGGATGGACAGAGGTTGTGATAGTATTAGTTCATAGGGTATTCCAAACGCTCAAAAGTTGAACTCCTTTTGAAGACAAATGGAACAAAAATTCAATGTGGTGCACAGCAAGCAGCTACTCGTGGTAGGGTGCCTTGATCTTCCATCAAATGGCACTGTCTTACATTCTGGTGAGTATTCTTGAAATGTCACCTGTATGCATTTGAGTTAGCACCTGCTGAAATGAAAGGGGCAATTCACAAGTCACTTCAGATTTTAGTCTGTACAGAAGCTCAAGCCAATAGAGCTACATCACTTACAATTGCAAAGATTTATTGGCAACCATAAATTTAGCAATTTAAGGCATATCTACCCCGGGAAAGTAGTCCTTAAAAGGAAGAGTGTAGATGTTTAATGTGATCATTTTTGTGTGCTAGCTCCCTTTGAGTTATTTTTAACAAATGCCAAAATCGTTCCAGTATAAAATAATGTAACTTTACCCTGCAAGTGGGATATGTTACTTAATTTCTAGAGCACTAGAAATAGATGGGAGTTACATGGGGTAATGTGCTAGAAGTTCACATTGCTGCACATTCACAGTTACTGCACACTAACTTCTTTATGTAACAAACCGTTAGACCTTTTGGTTTTCAGTACAAGTTTAGCACTGGAAAACAGCCAGAAGACAAATCTGTGCATCTGCTGCTAGTCTGGTATGCTCCACATCTTGAGAAGAACCATCTAACTAGCTGACATCATTAGCATACATATGCCGCCTTCTTTCCCCGTCCCAAATGTGCAGTCCCATAAATCACCGCAGGCTGGAATTCTGCTCTCTTTAATGCTGTTTGAAGTGGCTAAATTACAGCCTCTCTTCTTTGTGTCCACACAAATGCTAGGTGAAGGCACCAATATTCTGAAGCATGGCTACTGGTATGATTCATTTTCCAGCCTGCAGTTTGTGTCTCAAGGATGAAGATCCAGTGATTGCATATATTGGGCAAAGACGGAGGGCTCGGCAGCGCCTGGAGGCTCTTCAGCAGCTTGCTGTGTAAGTGTTCTATGGTTGGACAATTTAAAATGAACATACGAACAAAACCAACAAAAAGCCATGCATGCTGAAGTGGAGATGACTGCAATTTGCTCCTACTTACATTTCCCTTGAAATTAAGAGATTGCAGCTGTTGTGGAGTATGGTTACCCATCTGTTTCTTACAGGGTGGATGTTGCACATTCCTTCATCCCTGTGCTATCTGCTTTGCAGCGGTTGCCATGAAAAAGAAGAGAGTTATTTCAATCTCTTACAGATCAGATGAGTTATGAAAACTTCAGTGACTCATGTATGTTACTTCAGTGGGAGCTCTTTGATTTTAGTCCCGTGCAATTGCAGCTGGTTAAGTTGCTTTTGCTGCTCCTTCCAGGGTCCTTGGGGCCTGAACCAGGACACTGCATTTTTAGTGCAGGGCTTTCTTGGCTGAGCTTTCTCCTGGTGTCACAATTTGGCTTCTGATTCAGCAGATATTAAAAGAAAGTTTATGTATTTTGCCACACCATAGGTTTTTTAACTCCTCTTGTAGCTGTATCCAAGACTGCGGGCAGCAGCCTAGGTTTTTGTCTTCAAAGGTTCTTTCTGCTTTAAGCAACTGACTTTAGGCCATGCTCTTTTCAAATAGTGCTTGCTCTGGGGTTGCTGGCACATGCTAGAAAATAATCAAAGATGTTCAAGAATGATACAGTGGATTTCACACCTGGTTTTGTTCAGTTTCAAAGGCATATTCTTCTCATTTCCATAATAAAAACCATAAATTTGGAGTATTTTCTTCTTAATACTATTTTTAGTGTTTCAAACTGTCCCCAGTGCATGAACACCTCAGTGGCTTCTTACATTTTGTCTGCAATTCTGTAACAACTTGACACCTGTACTGCTTTAAAGTTAATTTACATTTCAACAACATGTATTTGCAAAATGTCTTGCAATTAACAAAAAATGAGAGCTACATCCCCCTGTTTCAACCTGCACTGATTGACAGGGCTGCTGATACGAAAGACCGAATATTTCCCAGCTGTCTTCTCAGCAGTTGCATTGCCTCTGCAAGGTTACTGGGAATAAATGCTCATTTATTTCAGCAAAGTCAGCATATATAAGTCAAGGACATGCAAGAGGCAGGATCTGTGGAATAAAAAGGGCTATTTCCCTGGGTTCCCATTGTGCCTATAACTATACCATAACAGGATGAACGGTTTATGCTAATAAAGTTAGATCATAAGAATAAGTGCCCACCTGTGCTGAATGAAACACAAATCCATCTGGATGGAGCAACAGTCTGATATGTAAAGAGTCAGCTAATGGAACTAGCCATCAGCTCAATTAACTCATTTGAATTACAAACACAACTTCACAATAATAGGTTGATTAGTGCTGAGCAAGTATATCAGATTGCATCTCAAAATATTCCCTTCCCTTTTCTTATGGGATGTGACTGAAAGCCCTGTGAAGAGATGACTTTAAACTTACCTTGGCAGTAAATTGTGTGTCATGGGAGGTTAATGAAGCATCTCGCTCCAAGCTTTCCTGTGGCAGGTAGCTGTACTGTGCCTCCCCAGATTCCACAGCACAGTTTGCAGGAATTAGATGAGGGCTTGGAAGAGAGCAGGTCTCAGCATGTAATCCTCTGTTTTGATCTCAGCTGTTGAGCAATGTTAAATATTGTTAATTGTATCTCTGTAAATATACCTTTGTAATTAAAATCAGGCATCAGCAACCAACCCCAGTACCCACAAGCCCATACATCTTGAGGTCAGAATTCATACAAGGTGCCCAAAATGGTCTTACAGAAAACTTGGCCTTCAGGACTTGCCTTATCACAGCTCAAAGAAATAAAATCATCATATAATCAAAGAATGGCCTGGGGTGGAAGGGACCTTAAAGATCATGTAGTTCCAATCCCCTTGCCATGGGCAGGGATACCTTTCACTCAGAGTTCCATCCAACGTGGTCGCAAACACTTCCAGGGCGGGGCATCCACAGCTTCTCTGGGAAGAACTTGTTTTTTGTCTTTAACACCTGTGCAGCTTGAGAAGAGTAAGACTGGAGTATAAAGTAGTTGTGAAATCAAATAGGAATCCTGATTAATAACTTGGAAATTTCTCAGTTCTACCCATTATCTCAACTGACTGCCTTAATGAGGTTTTCCACATGATCTTTCAAAGCCTTAAAGAAGACTCTTCAAGATGTTATAGTCAAAAATTTAAACTGTCTGTCTAATTTAAACTCAAAATGGAAAAAAAAAAAAAAGAGTTCTTGCAAAATATATGGTTGTTCCAGCATAGATTTTGAAACATTCCCATGATTGTCCTAATTTTTCTTCATTACTGGAGAACTCAAATTGAAATTGCTGATTCTAAATTTTTAAACATTTGCTCAAAATCTCTTTACCTACTTTTCAAAGGTAGAAAGCATCCTCTCCTTTGCTCGTTCTGAGTCTTTACACATATTTGGAAAGTGTTTCACTCTTAAGATAATAAACTTCCTCCCCACACTTCCAATAAAAGTGGTTTCCTTTACAAGGTCAAGCATGTACAAGTGGTTAATCCTTTTCATAACAAGCTCATAAGAAAGTTTTAATAAAGGCAGCAAAGACCATTTCTTGACCACACATAGTGGGAAATAAAGTGTCAAACTGTTTTGCTACATAGGTAAATGTGGAAAAACCAACATATAATTGCTTGTATAAGTGTGAGGCTTGGGGGGAATTTGTAGTGAGCATGTTGGATAGCGCAACCAGAGGGGGGAGAGAGGAAAAAAAAAGGCATAAGGAAAAAAGATAACTGCTCTGAATGTACTTTTTAAATTATGTCCTGTACTTTGGCTTTCAGAGGTCAGTCTTCTCTTCAGATACCTCAGGTTGTGTATGAAGATCCTGAAATTAATGGAAGGAATCGCTACAAATATTTTGCACGGTAAGGAATGAACTAAATAATTTGGAACAGGGTTCAGCTTCTTTCTGTGCATTTTCAAGAGCACCTAAGTAAAGGCCAGAGCATTATTTTTTCTGTATTTTCTGTTAGTTCTTTGATCAGTTCTTTGATAAAATAGAAAAATTTAATAGTAAGTGGGTCTTAAAACAAGGTCTTTCTAAACTCACACTATGACAGAATTTTCAATTATGAGTTACCATGTAAGCAAATATAGCAGACATTCTGTACTTAATAAGAAAGCTTTGGGCTGTAGATCATTCTCTGCAAAGGAAGAAGATATTTACAAAGCCAGTGTGGTTCTCCAGACCCCTAGAAAGGTGTTGTCTTAAGAAGGAGCCTTTTAACTCCCAGTTGCTGCCAGGAGCAGAAAGGGAGCAAAGGGAAGCCTCGATTAACTTTTCATCCACATCCCCTACTGCAGGACTGCTCTGCTCCTTCCAAAAAGACACTGCAGGTCAGCAATGCACTCAAGATCTGAACCAACAGCTACCATATAAACATTCTTGGCTTAGTCACATACACTTTGAATTGCATTCACTATTTTACTCAGCAGCTATTGGCCACTATATCCACTTTAAATACAAAAAAAAAATTGCTATGTTTAATAAGTTGAAGTCTATTATGGCTCCTTTATCAACACACAGTTTTAAAGGAACAAAGACGATGTTATCTTCTGCAATATGAAATTAAGCTTCAAAGTCTCCCAAAGGCTAAGAGAAGTTGATAGAGAACTGCAATATGCAAACTATAAGAATGCCTAGGAAGGAATTATTAATATGTAGTTGAGCACAAATCACTTTCAAGATACCTCATAAAGTATTGGAAAAAATGAAACAATAAAATTAGGTAAGTCCAAACCAGCTTATCAGCTAATTGTAGGAATGAATTTCAGGATTTCAAGCAGTTATTAAAAAAAACACTACTCTTTCAAAAAAGTGAAAGTGAAATTTAAAAAGTAAGCTAATTAGTGAAACATACACAAAATACTGGGAACACACTCAAAACTAACTTTAGTAATTGTCTTCTTTTGCAACTCCACTTTCTGCTTTGATTTATAAGAAAAGCACTCAGTCCTGGTGTTTACTGGTGAAACTTCCTCTGTTCCTCCTTAGCTATGAAAGAGTTCTTTAATATTTAGGCACAATTCTTAAACATGCAACAAACAGAACCACAGTTGTGGAAAATCAGTATTAACTCCACTGAATTTAGTGGGTTGTGGTTTTTCTGAACTGTAATGATCTTTTATGCTCATCCTTGTTGTCTTACTTTCATTCTGTCTCTTCAGACCTCTCAGGCCTTCTAAGCTGCCTCCAGCAGGTGTTCCAGAAGCTGTTGCTGATACAAAGACAGAGTAAGTAGTGACTTTTGGAAAATTACTGTTGTAATGGGTAACATCTCACCAGAAAAAGATCAGGAAACTATTCAGCTGGTGACACTATTTTTCATAATGAACCAACAGGAAAAGCTTATTAAGAGGTAAGATGCTGCTCTCATCATTGAGAATTCTAGAGGAAATGGATGATGGACTGTTTCAGAATTTGCTTGCAGTATATAACTAGTGCTTTGTGAGTAAAGGATGTGCCTCTAGTGTGTTAAGATTGTGAGGCTTGAAACAGAAAGCTAGGTGTCTCTGAATTCTAGAAGAGCTACCATTGCAAAGAAAATTCTCTAGTAGAGCAATGTTATTGGAAAGTCTTTTGATATTTTATTACAATCTCTGTGATAGATGCAATGCTGCTCAGAGATGTAGAGCATCAGTAATGTAGTCTAATGTGGTTTTCAGAGAGTATCAAATTTTGAGGTCACATAATAAAATTCACTTCCTGGTAGAGTTAGTGGAGATTGCATGTGCTTGTATCAGAATTAAATTTTTATTCTGGAATTGTTAGAAAGAGAAACATGTAAACTAAATTGAAGCAGTCCTACTTCATGTTACTTCAACGATTTTCTGTCCATTAAATGCAATGCTTTAGACTGGATAGGTATGGAAGATTTGTACAAGAGCTGAAACTAGAAGATTTCTGGATTATTTACTTAAAGAGGGTGTTTCAGACTCAGTGTAGCCTCTGTCTGCTTTTACCAAAGATAATGGGGTTAACATCAATGGGAGTAATGTTAAGATGAACATGTTTAAGACTCCCACCTTTAACCGATGTGTTTCTGGTTTGTTTGCTTGGAGGTTTTTTTAGTGAATGTGACCAATCTTCCATCTTGCACCTCTTTTTAGGACAGAGTCACGTGTCCTGTCAGCTGCAGGAGACAGCCAGGTCCTTGGCCTCATGTTCCGAACTCTGGGGACACAGACCGATTACAGGGATGGTGAAGCACAGACAGATTCCTATTCTCCTGAATACATAGTCCGCAGTGGCTCAGTCCCTGAAATTCTGACACTTGCTACCCTCACTTGGGGTGAGTTGTGAAATTAAGATCAATTGTAATAAACATGTTGTCTCTTTAGCAGGATGTTCTTTTCTTTTCAGTGTCAGGTTTCAAGTCTATTGCCAGCTTTGGTGGTCTTTTTTTGTGTGCATTTAGGGCAATTATTTTATCTGTTTCTAAAATAAGTATGATATTTCACTACTTAATGGTGCTGTTCTGGGACATTTAATGAAGGGTTTTGAGGACCATTCAGTATAAAAAGGTCATGTTACACAAATGGGAACTAAGAGCAGTTTTTCCATTTACCCACTGTTCTTCAGCTGCTCTGAGTTCTGAACATCATTAAAAAAAACAGTATGAAGACTGCTGCCCCAGAACATACCTGTGATCCTCATCTCCCAGTGTCTCACCTGTAACAATGATGGGCACTGCACAGGCCAAAGAAAGTGCTCATTCTCAGAAAATATTTTCCTAGTAAAGCTTTTCTCCCCCTGCAGCCTGCAGTAGAAGAATGAAGTGCCAGTGTTAGCGTGCACTGAACCGTAGCAACTGCAGGTCCTACCACACCTCATGCTGTAGAATCTCGCTGGCCTGAGAAGAATTTACTTCTGGATTTTGACAGTTCTGCTTGTGTTTACCCCATGGTCCTATACCCATCCAGCCCTCTCATACTTTTTGTTGGTGGCTATTAGTAGGGTTTGCCAGTCTCCCAAAGAGCTAATGTTTCTTGTCCCTGTAAGGTCGGGGGCTGCCAGCAGGACAAGCTGAAATGGAGATTATTGACCGCATCCGGGAAAAACGCGCTTGGGAAGCAGCTCTGCCACCCATGGACAGTCCCTCAAACATTGCAAAGAGGTTGAAGATGATGGAAGCTATGGAAAGGAAGGAGTGGGCCTATAGGGAAGAGGAAATAGATAAGTAGGAGTTCATTTACACTCTTTTATTTCTTTTAATTATTGGCTGAATAGAGGAGGAGCAAGAAGTTTTAGGGGATTGGCTGAAGGGTACAACAAGCCTTCTAATTCTGTGAAAATACCCTGATTTTGGGAAGGCATATTTTTCTTAAATTTAGTCTCCAGGTCTGCTACCATAATATATTTTACCAGTGCTTAATTCCCTTCTTAAAATGAAAGATTGAATATGAGAAATGCAATATGAGCTATTTGTAAAGGTATGTAGCATTTGATGGTGACAGCATTGCACAGAGCACTGCTGAGTACACTCAATACTGTCTGACCTTTTCTTTCCTTGCAGGTTGCAGAAGGTTCAAATGGAAGTCTTTAAGAAGCTGCTGGAGAGGCGAGAGGAGAATCAGAATGAGCTGAATGCCATGCGCTTGAACAACCACTGGCAAAATCATCAGAAGGCTAAAGAAGAGAAAATAGGAAAGATTCAGCATGACTGTGCATTGAGTAAGTCTGAAAGACAGGAAGAGAGGGGTATGAGATAGTTTTCGGACAAGCCATTTCTATTTTCACAAGGTTACCATCTATTCAAAATGAATTAGGTTGCATCCAAAATATCAATGTTCATGGCTAGCATTTGGTCTGTCATGTTTTTATTGTATCTAGCAAAAGCTCTTGTGAATTTACAAAGATACGGCTTTTATAGAACTATTTGTGTGAACCGTCTCACATTTGTATTTCCTTTTCAGTGCTCAGGAAACTGATAGCTAAGAGGAAGAATTGGATGGGAAAGCTGGAGAGACGAGATATCATCAGGGAGTACAATGACTTTGCATCACAAACATACGCTCCTTTGTCTCGAATTGGTTTTTTCCCAGACAACAATTCTGACTACTATGCGGTAAAAAACTACTATCTTAACACTTTTGCAGGTAAGGCATTTTGGAAGACTTAGTTGTGGGAGGTACTTACTTGAGATATTACCAAAATTTAAGTTTCCCTCCCCATCACTCCACTACTTAACCACTGTTTTTATTAAAATCCTTGTATATATTATAATCTTTCTTTATATTATAATCTTAGGATTGTGTGAACTGGAAAAATCTGTCCCGTCTTCTGTCTTCCCGCTCAAGATTAAAGCTCCAAAACCCAAATGCATTATCACTAAGACTGGCTATATTAAAAGGTCAGGAAGACTACAGGTAGTCCTGGCACAAGTTCACCAGGTATGACACTACATCCAGCAGCATACCAGTTCCTCTTAGATTTGAACTGCTCACAAATGCAATTGGGAAGATGTGTAAGCTTCTTCCCAATTTCCTGTGCTGAATTCTTATTCTGTAAAACAACTTCTAGGACAGAAAGAATCAAACATGCAGACTGTTGTAGGCTTGACCAGTACTGCTCTGATACTCACCCCATCAGTACTCTCACTCCTGCTTCTGCTCCAGTCCTATAGACAACAAGCACCAACAAATCTGTCTTCCTACAGATCAGGTATTTGGATTGGAACATATTATGTCAATTTGAAATTCTCACCCTTTTCTCATTCTCATTGCTCCATTTTATAATACACTACTGACTACACTATCAAGCTTCCAATAATTAAAGAAAGCGAATCTGGATTCATATTCTAAAATTTGTGTAGATTTAGAAAGTAAATTTTAAGTACATATTTTAAAAACATCTGTAGCAAAGCATGATTAAAATGACCCCACTCATAAAATCAGGTCACAATGGTGGATGCATATCACTGTTACTCCCTAAGAACAGCATCTGATTTGCAAACAAGCTAATAGTATTTTGCATATCTTAATTTATCACAACTGTTCTTGCAGATGAGGTGTCCATATATGCAATTAACCACCAAAGAAAGAAGTGCCTCATCTGCGTCTGCAATCACAATATTTGTAAATTACATGTACTTTTAAGTACACGTCTTGTGATGCTGTTGAGGGTTACCTTCCTGTAGAATCAGGAGTATTCTCGGCTGGCTGCTGTATCTTTGGAAAATAGTGACTCTAATTTGTAAAGTTTGGCAAGTTTCACTTATGTTTATATATATATGTATGTATGTATATATACCTCTTTTGTCTTGGTGCAATATAATAACAATTTCAAAGCAGACAGTAACCTGCTATTGCTGAATTTTAAATTGAAATCTTGCTCTGAAAAATCAATCATATTATCCCAAATTTAAATTCTGCTGGATCTTGTAAAGATGAGATACTGCATCTCATTATTATCCAGAAAGAAACTTTTCAAATGAAATCTTGAGTGCTACAGGAATTGCTGAAGAGTAAGGACAAAACTCTTAGTTTTAAAGACACAGAAGTGTTGAAGGGGTTTGAGTTTGCATGGTTTGCATAAAATTTAAAAAGTAATTGTGCAATCTGCATCCTAACACAGTTCTCTTTGTCAGCAGAATGTTAGTTCAAGCTTTTGGAGCTGAATTCCAGTTACAGCACTTGTATTCTATTTGTTTAAAATACTCCTCATGGTTTGAAAGACTGTGGTGAAGTGTCTAAACTGTAGCCACAGAAAAGAAGTGTGAGCAGCCAAATGCTGGCTGCTCACACAATAATGTCTCTTCAAAGAAAAACTGGTGGACAAAGGGAGATGGAATGCAGAACAAATGCAGACAATTCTGCACATTTTCTTTCTTAAATCAGTGTAGATCCCTTGGTCGGCATTGTTTTATAGCAACTGAGAGGCTAACATAAATAATACTCATTTCCCCACCACAAAAATGCCAAATGTATATTCTTTTAAAATCACAAACCATTTTCTTTGCAGGGAAAAATTATTAAAAAATCCATTATGCAAAATTTAACTGCTGCTTTAGATATACAGAAAAAGACACCAGACTGGTTGGTCCAGACAAGCAGAAAGTACTGACACTGTGAAACACCCAGACTGCCTCCACTGTTACATTTAAACAAGCTCTCTGTTCAGAGAATGAAGAAATGACTGCTCCAATTAGCTCTTGAGCTCTAGGCTGCTGTTCCTGGTCACTTATTCCATCAGAAGCTTTACTGTAGCCACAGAAAAGAAGTGTGAGCAGCCAAATGCTGGCTGCTCACACAATAATGTCTCTTCAAAGAAAAACTGGTGGACAAAGGGAGATGGAATGCAGAACAAATGCAGACAATTCTGCACATTTTCTTTCTTAAATCAGTGTAGATCCCTTGGTCGGCATTGTTTTATAGCAACTGAGAGGCTAACATAAATAATACTCATTTCCCCACCACAAAAATGCCAAATGTATATTCTTTTAAAATCACAAACCATTTTCTTTGCAGGGAAAAATTATTAAAAAATCCATTATGCAAAATTTAACTGCTGCTTTAGATATACAGAAAAAGACACCAGACTGGTTGGTCCAGACAAGCAGAAAGTACTGACACTGTGAAACACCCAGACTGCCTCCACTGTTACATTTAAACAAGCTCTCTGTTCAGAGAATGAAGAAATGACTGCTCCAATTAGCTCTTGAGCTCTAGGCTGCTGTTCCTGGTCACTTATTCCATCAGAATTTCAGCTGCTTCTGAAGTTCAGTGGCTGTAGCATGTTCTGGCTTAGCAGAGCCTTGCTGACAAGTCCAGCTCAAATGCTGCTGGAGCTGTCAAAAACAGAGCAGTAAAGCATGCAGAGTACTTGCATTAATAGAATTTAGGACAATCCTCCCTGAGAGGAGCTCTCTGACCACTTGGAATAAGCAGTCCCAATTGTGCCAACAAACCTCCCATCACACACAGTAGAAAAGAAGTTTAAAGCAGGTAATTAGGGATCATCTTACAAGGGCACTGTGTTGCTTTGCCTTATTTCTATAGCTGAGTAGCCAGATCAGTTTTCTATTCTAAAGCTTTATTTTAATGCTCTCCTAGCACACTTAATCCATAAATTCTCTCCCATAATCCTAGAAATAAAGTGAAATCCTAGAAAATTCAGAGAGTACATGGAGATCTAGCTCTACAATGATTTCTTAAAATTTTTCCTGGATTATCTAGAAGCAAATGACAAATATAGGAGAAATGCTAGATACTGGCCTCAGAAGTAATTAGTTTTAATAAAGCAAGTTGCCAAGGCTTGCTTCTCTGGCCAAACACAAGGAAATATGGATGAGTTCTCCTCATTATATTCCTTTTTGTTTGCCATATTGAGGGTATTCCTAAGCTTAAAGCTTTTTAGAAGGGATAAGCAATAATCCAAGTAACTACAAAAAGGATCTGTGTCCTCCTAGGAATGAGAGCTGCTTCTTTCAGACACTAAACTAAGACAAAAAGAAGTGATTTTAGAAGCAAACTTTTTCAGGACCCTCCTGAAACCTTTTGCAGAAGTATTATGTACACTCAGTAATCTTTGAATAATTGTCTAAAATAAGAAAACATGACAGAAACAGGAGTGAAAAAAGAAAATTCACAGTAAAAACAAAAATCTTTATCTTAAGCCAGGTCAGTAAAAGGACAGAGAAAGATAGTTCCTAGCCAGCACAGCTAACAGTGCTTTAAGGAGTGCAAGTGAGCCATTATATAGGCAGCCTAGTATGAAAATCCAAGGCATTAAGGATGTAACATCCCAATACAGATAACTACTGCAGGGAGTAACTGCAGCTAGGTAAGTGAATACACCAAGGAGTGCAGGAGGTGGTAGAACACATCCCAGTGCGGAACAATACGTGACTTCAGGCAGACCCTCTATGCTCTGGTGACTCAAGAGGGATGAAGCATCAGGTGATTTAAAGTATTGTATCAAGATGAGGTCAGAACCAGAAACTTCTCACCTCAGCATTAAGTGCAATTCTCACCATGTCTGTTTTCCTTCATCCAGTTGCTGGAAAGAGGTAGAGAAGTAGAGGAGCCAAGAATGTCTCTGGAGAAAATCTCTGCCAACTTCAAAGCATAGGAAAGGCTGTTTAAGCAGTTATTTCTTCAAGAACAGATCTCCACACAGTGTTGGTTGGCTCATGCTCAGACAGGCTCTGGGAGCTTTTATGTCAGTCTTGATCAGCCAAGATGCAGCAGCCACGCTGCGTTGCTAAGCAAGTTGGCAGCCTGTCCTCAGTGATCCTACCTGAGGTGGAGGTTGGCCTCTTCTCCCAGGCAGCCAGTGACAGGACAAGAGGGCACAGTCTTAAATTGCACCAGGGGAGGTTTAGATTGGAATTAGGAGGAATTTCTTCACAGATTAGACATTGGAATGGGCTGCTTAGGGAGTGGTGGAGTCACGGTCCTTGGAAGTGGTTAAAGAAAGACTCTGGACATGAAAAGAAAGAGAGACTCAGTGCCATGGTCTGCCTGCCATGGTAGTGTTCAGTTATAGGTTCGACTCAGTGATCTGAGAGATCTTTTCCAACTTTATTGATTCTGTGATTCTGTAATCCCACAATTATCATTTGTGAGCAAAAAGGAAGAAGGAGAACCACGACTGCATACTTTGTGCTGTACACAAAAAATACCTAGAATCTTGTGGAATGGAGAGGATCACAGAGAAGATAAGGGAGGAATCTAAAGAATGGATTGAATGCTTTCTTAGAATGGAGAGTTGCTTCTTAAGCCCTTATCCTGTCAAGAGTCCTGCTTCTTTCAGAAGCTGGCTGAGAAGCCAGGGTGTATGGTGAAAAGCATGAGTGCCATTTGCTGTTCACTGCATTTACCAGGAGAATGGAAAAGAGATGACTTTTGTTCTTTCACTGTGCAATCCAGTCAGATCCTACCTTGACTCTGAACCTGCTACCTGAATGAAAGAATGTAGTCTGTATCAGGAAAATTGGAGTATGATATGTAGACAGTAACATTTGGTATATGTTGCTCAGAAATTTAGCACTTTTATCTTTTAAAATCAAGTATTTTTGTAGTTCATTCTTGAGTCCTGGTATTTCTGTTTCCAAAAATGAGAACTTGTTAAGCTGGGCAGAACCAGTTTAGGCAAAATCCCTATATTTTCTTTTTCTTTTCTTACGTTAAAATCTTAAAATAATTTAAAGCATCAAATTAGAGAAGGCAAATGGTAAGCTTTTTTTTTCACTTAGTAAAGATAGTCAAGCAGGCACTAGATAGTGCTGACATGAAAACGTAAAGCCACTTCTAAGAACTGCAGCATATCTCAAATCTACATTAATAAGGATTCCCTCCTGTCCAAATTAATAATGGATTTTTCTGTCTTTAAAAGTTGTTAGTCTGATTGTATTTTGTTATTCTGGTTAGCAGGAAACATTTTTTGGAGGCCACAGTTTTATTAGGAAAATTCTTATGAATGCGAGATTGTACTAATAAACATAGTAGCCATTGTTTTCAAGAGAGTCAGAACTTCAGCAGCTTTTTCTTTCTGCTTCCCTTGCCCTGCCATGCAAATCTCCTTATAAATCTCTGTTATAATCTTCATGCTAGAGAGCTCTAAGGTCTTCACATACAAAACACAGTTCAGAAAATCTCTCAACTTTTTTGAGCTATAACCATTTCACATGGCTGAAAAGCAGTTTATAGGCTCTGATTCTTCCATTATTAACACGGACCATTTAAGAAGCTTTCAGTAGGAAAGTATTTTATCCCCTCCACCTAGAAACCTCTCTCCTTTTCTGGAGCAATTCATTGTCCTAACCTGAAAGACCAGATCCTACATGCAAGAAGGGTTTTTGTACAATGACTACTGGAGTTTCAAAACGTCATTAATTTCACAGTTAAATTCTGTGCAAATGCCATCACTTTCCTGTTACTGGAGAGCTAAATTCAGCATTTACCTTTTATCTAAAGTTTTTCTTTTGATTTCCCTCCCTGGTGAAATACTGTATTTGAACATTTGAAAGAGAGAGAGTGAAAAAAGGAAAATGCACACTCCATTGCTCAGAAATATGATCTTTTAATAATAAAGACTAAACTCCAACCCGTACAGTAGTAGGATTATAGTTTTGAAGGAGCTTTAAATGGATATACTCCCTTCCCTTTCTGTGCAAGACAAAGTGTCATGTCCTGCAGCAGGCAAGCATTGTCATGCTTATCTGCATATCTAGTTCTAAGGGGCTGGTAGTGGGAAATTGGCAGGACTTGGGCTTTTTAAACAGTTTGAAAATGTCTTGAAAGAACTGAGGATGTGGTGGCACTTCCACTCTAGTCTGCTGATAACGTGTGGCATCTGCCACCATCAGCTGCAAGCAAGATAAACTCACTCCTAATGGGCTTTTGCATTTTCTTGGTAGAAGGAAGTTTTTGGACAAGGCGGTTTCTCTTTTGCCCCCAGTCCACCTGTACTGTTGCTGTGTATGCCACGGGGCTGCTGGGCAGTTGTAGATGAGCAGAGCAGAGTTCTAAAACATATTTTCTAGGAAGGTGTCATTTGGTTCAATCTTGTGCAGTGGTAGCTTATCATACAAAGACATTCCACTGTCACAGAACAGTGACAATACCCTCTTCAAATGAGCCCTTCATAAAACACCTCCCGACTGCACAACATTTCTAAGCCACAGTGGCAAGCATTCCCTATCGCTAAAGGCAAAGAGTTACAGCCTTCCTAGAAATTTAATTACTTGGGAATTAGAGATGAAGTTCATACCCATTTTAGATTAATTTTAGTTGTCTCACAAGTGCTGATGACTTATTAGTAAATACAGTAAAATGACTCCTGCTTCCTTCTTACATAGGATTTTGACATTCCCATCAATGTCTTCTGACCAGCCTATAACCTCATCTACTAACCATACTCAGTTTTTCAGTTGATCTGCAGTAAGAAATAGAAGCCACAAGCCTGCAAAGCTTTCAGCTCCCTGTAGTCGATGTAGTCAGCAACAGTCAGCATCTACAGCACTGGCCTTGTTATATTGTTCTATCTACCCATGCATGTTCTTATTAAATTGGATGTCTTTTGCAGGCACTACTGGAGAAGAAGAATAAAGCCAAGGAGCCAAAGAAGCCTCCTCCTGTCTGTGAAAAAGTAGAAAGCCCTGTTCCTAAGCCACCCACTCTAATCCTGGAAAAACCATCAATTGTAAGTGAGCTGGTTTTAGCACTTTTTTTTCCCTGTTGATCTCTGATTGTTTCCTACACAGTTGTTAAAGGAATGCCCAGGGAATGAAAGAAGGGAGCTTTATCCTTTTTGCCTGCATCCATGTTAAAAATATTCATCATTATTTCTTAAGACTCTCCTAGTCTCTATTCTATAAGGATACTAGCACCCAAAGATTTGAAAATAATTTGCAGTATCTGTTGTCCCAATCTTGAAGTAAACTTTGTTTTATAAAGACCAAAATTACTAGATGTGTTATTCCTTTGTTCTTGGGGGACAAAAAGGCATCATCATAATCTTCATCATTGTTATTATTATCATTGTTATTATCACTGTTATTCAGTAGCTTCCAACCTTCTGATCTGACAACACTATCATAATCCAGTGAGGCAATTAAGTTTAGACTTACTGAAGTCAGAGAGACATTGGCTGCTTAGCACTGAGCGTGCACTTCATTAATTTTCTGGAGTGAAGCTCTTGTCATCATGCGGGATGCAGTGTTTGATGAACATGCACTGGTTCACAGATAATGATTCTCCTGCAGAGATTGAAACAGCAGTAATGATGTGTCATGGGGGCTGTGATATGCTGTAGGAAAAAATTACTTTTTAGGGGAGCTGCAACTTCCTTTCCTTTCTTAAAGTAACATACTTAAGAGCTGTTCGTCCCACTGGACTGTTTTGTCTTCTTACTAATATCAGTTTCATTATGTACTAAGAATCAGACAGAATTACCATTTAAACTTGTGAATTTAAGAGTAACACAACCATGACAGTGAAGATAGAAAGTCTTATTAAATCATCCATGCTGCTGTGTTCCTTTGTGCAGTATGATATTCTATGTTTTATGCAGTCTATTTTAAGATGACTGGAACAAGAATTTTTTATCTCCTTGGGGAGAGCTTTCCACAGCTTTACCAGCTTCTAAGCATTAGATACTGTATTGCAGTGGTGGGTTTACACTGTTTAGGCTTACCAGTTTGGCAGGTTTTTAAGTACTTTGAGGTAACATGTAAAGAAATCAGAAAAAATTTTCTACCACTTGTAGTCATTCTTGAGTGTGTTCACAGATTATAGTTGGGTGTTTTTTAAAAAGTTCCAATACAGTAGAATTCCATCTTCATGAATTTTATCAACATTTGGTTTATTTTCAAGAATTTTTATGTGTGAACACTTAAAAGATGGAGCTCTCCAGTGAAGCTCCATCTGTAAAATCAGGCCACTTGAGCCACTGAAGAGCAGCACTAACATCTCCTGCCTTGCCAAATCTAAGTAAGGTTTCTCCTATCAGGTGGCTGTGAGGAGCAGTGAAAACAAGGCTCTTCTCTATTGTTAATGCTTCTCTTCCTGCCACACACCCACATGAGTACCAGCTGCTAAATGCTTCTCACTGGAACTGAGGGTCTTGCAAAGAAACTGTGCCAGAAGAAAGTGGAGAGAATGGAGGCACTACTGCAAGCATCCTCAGCTTCTCTCTCCTGGTTATTCCTAAAGGACTTAATAGCCACAGCAAGCTCACAGAGCACCTCTGAATTCCTTCATTACTTTATAACTTTCTTCCAGCCTCCTCTAGTTTGCAGCCATCTCCTAGATTCTTCTATACCCTTAATTTTTCTTTTTTTCCTGTAGGGCATGATAGGCTTTTCATCTCCCCTCATTCTTTCCTGCTGGTCTGTAGCAGGCAGATGGACAAGCTGATGATTACGCTTGCTAAGGCATCATTTGCAGCATAAAAAACCAGAAGTACAGAAAAATGCTCCTCATAATAATTCAAACCTAATCTTAGTTAATATCACACCAAGCAGTTTGGCTTACCAGTATGTGTGCCATCACCATCTCCAAAACTGTCCTGAAGGGATTTCACACTGTAGCCAGGTGATGTGGTAGAGTTCAGCTCTCTAGACTGGAAATTCATTTCTTCTTTCCAGAGAAGAAGAACATACCAAATCACAAGTCCTCTTGCTAGTTCTGCTTTGCTCCTCCTGGGTGGTGGTGTGGAAAGGCAGGAATGCTTCCTTTTGCATTTGGAAAACTCAATCTTCAACACCTAAGAAAAAACAGATAACTAAGATTCAAGCCCACACAACTTCTCTCATCCCACACTCTTCCCTGCTTTTCCAGCACTTCTTAAATACCACATGTCAATGCAGACCTCATAGGTTCTTTATTAAAAAAAACGTGCTTCCAATTTTAAGATTTCTTTTTATCTTTCTCAGGCGCCCAATGAACTTTTTTCTTTTCCTACTGTCAACTCCAAACTAGAAAACCCCTCACCTAGAAAAAATGCTGCCATCTGTGCTTTGTCTACTTCCTCTATTTAAAATAAGCCCTTTTTTTACCTTGTGTGGTCATGTTCCCTTTCCTACTATGCTCCATCATTCTTCCAAGTTGGTATCAATCACACAAGGCTAGGCCAGTATAGTTCTCAAAGAGACAAATCACAATGGACTGAGGTTGATTTTACTTCTAAACTATCACTTTATGAGTCTTAAATTTACTGAGTTACTCTGATAAAGATCACTGCTGGAATAAATATCAAAAGAAAAATTGTAAATGTTCCCTTTTAATTTAAAACCCTTTTTTTATGGTTAACAACTCTCTTGGACATATTCTGTCCTCTTAGTGTCTCGACTTGTTAAATTAATGTAGCTGATGCTTTTTTTTGCAAACTTAGATTCAGTCAAGCTACAAATAGTACTTAAAATGCATACAGTAATTTTCTCCATCAACATCCCCTTATCATTAGGTTCTCATCTCTAAAGACCCTCTAAAATTTCAAATAGAATCGAATTATACAACCTTTCTTCCCCATCCCTTGTAAAACATGAAAGTACATGTTATTCTGACTCACCTTCCTTTCCCTGGAAAATAGAAGAATGGTGTTCAGAAACAACCAAGAAAAGACAGGATATGAGTTAGACTGTTTAACATTTAGACAGATAATCTACAGAAATCCCAGTCTCCGAAGAAATAGTTGATGATTGTGTTGATATTTGTTATGTTTTGGCAGGAGGAAGAGGAAATAGACCTAGCAGTGATTTGTTTGCAGAAGCTGCTCCGAGGCAGGGCTCTTCAGAACATGGTATTCTGTCTCTTTGTTTATGTCAGTCTTCAGAGTGGTGGTGGGAATGACTGATTGCAAAGGGTGTTTGCAATCCTTCTTCCTGCACTAATCAGGGGTAGTGAGGCTCTTTGCAGTGGAATTACTCAAATGGCAAATTCTAGACTAGATCTGGACCGTGAGTACATTCTGCTATGATTATGGCAAGGTCCCAGGCACAAGAAACCTCCCACATCCCAGGAGGGCAGCTTGCTTTTCATACCATCTTTCTGGTTTCCACTGGTGGTGGGCTGGACCCCAGATGAGGAGCAGCTGAAGCCTACCACCATGATGTGCAGGACCCATCATTCTGCTTTCAGGGGAACAGAATGGGGTCTAACTACAAAGTAATTTAGTAGCCACCATGCCTCGTGGGCGTGATATTAATCAAGTCTGTCACTTGTGATCAAACCAGTCTTGAAGGTTTGGTTTTGTGCCCCAGAAAGTACAACTGATACTCTCTCTTGCAGTAGCTATTTAATGTTTTGAAGTGTTCCCATGCAGGACCCTGAGCTTTAGCAAACCATATTTTGCTATTTGCATATTGTGGAAGTGGCTTGAGGTGGAGTATAGAGTTCCAAAATGTTCTCCAGTTGTGTGATGATCTGTGAGAAGGATGGTTGAGGCCACTGAAGGATTGTTGACTTTTAGAGCATGAAATGTCCCACCATTTTAGGAATCTTCTTCCAGCTACTGCTGGATCAGAAATACATTACTGACTTGGAGAATGACACGAGCTGGGTTGAGTGATCTTTTTTTGCTCTTGGAAGTCCTGTTGGAAGAGAGTGGGATTGAAAGTAAAACAGTGTCAGGGAGGGCTGGGCCACATAACCCCATAACAGGGATGCCAGCAGTTTCAGCAACCTCCCCACCAGTTTATGGCTTTGGGCTGTTGCTGGGCTCCCTCAAAATGAAGGTCAGAGGACACGAGATGTTGAAACACTGTGAAGCTTTGACATTGAGGCTGATATAAGAGAGTGTGCAGAAGACCATTACCCTTTTGACATAGGTGGTGGTGTTCCCCATTCAAGTGGTTTGAGTTTGGGTAAAGCCAAACAGAATAATAATAATAATAATAATAATAATAATTATTTAAAATATACAATTAAAAAAGAGTAGCAGATCTACCTGACAGCTATAGGGTTTGCCTAAATGCAAGCCTAAATTTTTTAAAGAGAACTAAGTCTTGTCACAGCTGACCTTGCAACTTGGAGAAGAAGGGTATGTTTTGCTGGCAAAAATGTGTTGCTCTATATTCTCCATTTAATACGCTCAGTTGTTCACCTTTATTTTAAAGATATTTGAAGGGAAGGAGAGGCACCTGGATCTGATCCAAGAGCTGCGCACCACTCACGCGCTGCAGGAGGACGGACAGCTGCTCTTGAAGGCACAGAAGCAAATGACACTGTCTTTACAGCGACAGCGTGACTCACAAATGAAGCAGGTTTGCTTGCATAGATGGGAAGGTTCACAGCTCTATCCTGACCAGACACGCTGTGCTTGCAGTACCACTTTCACATTTAATTTTTTATGTTTTCTATTACCCACAGCGTAGAAGGCACCCCAATAGCAATAAAGCTCTCCTAGCACTGGCCATGTACTGAATGCCTGAGGGGCTAAAATTGCTCTCTCACTGCTCTGGAGGCTCTGGGGAATCTCAGAAACAGACTGAGGCACCCTGACCACAGCTGCTATGCAGCCTGTGTTTGCTTTGTTTGCAGACAGAGCACTTATTTATATTTACAGGGCTTTGAACAAACTGCAGTGCCAGATGACCCTCAGTTTTCCCACATTTCAATCCATTTAACTGGTACTGTGACCTGGTATCACAATACACGCTTGTCACTCACATCTGTTGGATGTTTTCCTGAGTGTTTGTTACTGCTCTGTCATTTTCCTGTCCCTTTTCTAGCTTGGCACCCTCTCAGGCTCCTCCTCACACATAAAACCTCACAAAGGCAGCCAAAGCCGACTTATTTTGTAAATCCTGCTGGGCTCAAGATTTCTAGAACCTTAGCAATGGTGACACATTGAAGTACCTGCCACTGTATGCCGAGCAAAGAAATTTTGGGCTCCATTCTCTGCCAAGGATCTAGTGAGAGCCAGGGATGCAAATTCCCATCCTGTTTCCTTAAAGTGCCCCAGCCTTCCAGAGGAAAGTGAGTGAAATGGCAGATGCTGGTCAGGAGTGGATCATAAAGAAGTTTTGTCCAGAGTTCACTACATTTCAGAGAATGTAGTATCTATCACATTCCTGCAAGTTTTCTTGTAATTTTTACTACTCTGCTGTTTTTTTCAATGACCAGCTGTGAGGCAATTGGGCAGCTTCCATATTGCAATAACAGCATCCACTGGCAAGTTGACCTGGTAGAGGTAAAGCCACACCACTGTTTCCTGCTGATTGGGCAGCAACAAAATTTCCCCTTAAATCTCAGTAAAAATTGAATCAGGTGACTGTGCTTTATCATTTACCATTTAGCATTTCCAGATACTCCCTCATGCACAGGAAGCCCAGGTGTGGAATGCAGGAACACAGAATATTTCTGCTGAGGAATTTAGAGAAAAATAAAAGCCTTTGGCATTATAAATTTGCAGTGCTCCATTTCTTCAGGAAGCCCAGGTGAGAGTGAAGGAGAAAGCAGTTCAAGCACCATAATGACATTCATAGAGGAGAGAGAGCAAATGTTAAAGATACTGACCTCTGATCTCAGAATTTCCTTTGTGGAGAGCCACTATCCCCCTCTGCTGGTATCTGTCTCCTCTCACTTTTTTTTTAACTGTCTCTGAAAGTTCACAGTCCAGGGCTCAGGTTTTCAAACATGTTGAACTTCAAAACTCTCTGGAATGCATGTGCAGGAGTTTTCTATGTGTGTGGCTGTTTCAGAAAGTCGCGGATGACTCTCAGTTCTATAGGGTTTGGTGGTCACAGGTTTTTTCAGGTTTTGGACCGTTTTAGTGTAAAATAAATGCTTCCTGCCTAAAGAGGACGGAAACTCCATATAAAACAGTCAAAGATGAGGACCTGAAAATTTTGGACTCATATATAACAAAAGTCTAACACAAGAGTATTGCTGAGTTGTTTTCCTCCATTTCACGCTAGTTTTATATACAGCACCTGAAGCAATGAAGAGGAGGGAGCACTTTAGTTCCATGTTATCCCTCCCAGTGGGGTGGTGCAGTTACTGCATCTCCATCTTCCATCTGAAACACCTGTGGGCTAAGTGCTGTCACTTCTAGATGTGTGCAACATTGACAATCGCACTTCCTTTGAAACACTGCCTGGGCAAATGGCACAGCTGTATAAGAAAGCTGATTTATTATTACTTGTCTGGGATATTTCAGCTCCACTTCAACTTTTATGTTTAGGTCTATTCTGTAATTGCCTGTTTATTTCAACAGAACACAGCATCCCAGCCAGTTCCAGACATTCCCTCCTGCCACGGCCTGTGGCTTCAGAGTCCGTTCTGGAGATAATGAACTCCCCATAGATCTTGTCTCTTTCTGTAGTGCAATCACACATACCCAGCCCATAGAACAGGATGTGCCTGGAACAAGGAGTGAATGGCACAGTAATGCTGAACACCTGGAATCTTGTCTCAACTCTGTCACAGACTTTCTGATTTTCCATTACCCAGAATTTTGAGGTCTCATTTGCACTTCTGCAAACTTCATATAATTACTGTCAATTTGAATTTGTCAGCAGTTAGTAACTTGTACAATTTTAGGTTCAGTGCCTGAAGCTGCAGGTACTCATGGTTGCACTGTGCAGAAACCAGTCAGGGCATGTAACACATGAAGAGTGCCAAACTCCTGGGACTGTCCCGTGGCTGGTCTGAGTGGATGCTGCAGAGCAGTCTCACATGCCTGTGGTAGTCCTGGGACTTCGTACAACATTCCTGGGGTTTGTAACACAATTCTTTGCATTTTTCTTTTGAAAGCTGTCAGCACTGGAAAGAGACTTGGCCACGGTAGAAGGAAGGGCACTGGCGAACATGCTTGATTTTCTGTCCAAAGAGCTGGTGAGGCTGCAAGAAGAGCAGAAGATCCATGCTTTGCTCATGCTGGCTGAGAGGCAGAGGCGGATGCGGGAGGCAGAGGAGAGCGGACGGCGGCAGCTGGAGGAGAGCCGGCGGCAGGAGGAAGATGAGCTTTTCAGACAGGCAAGAGAGGGAGACTGCTGGGACTGTAGGCAGTTTGTAGGAACTGCCTTCTTGTGGGAAGGTCCAGATGGATGGGAGCTGCTTCAGCGCTGACTTTGGTGATGGCTAGTTCTCAAATTGAGTGGGAAAGCTTCGTGAAGACAGGGTGATTCCTGCCTGAGAGAGTCATGTCCATTAAACGAAGGTTGATCTGAATACCCCTACACACAGTCCTGTTAGGCCTGTCATGAATGGGTGGAGGTTTCTCAATTTCTCCAGTAAACACCTATGGAGAACAGATGTACCTAGATCATCTCTAGGAATAATGTTTTGTCAGCACTTGTTCTGCCCAGCAGAACTGGTATGTGCTTTTCTAGGAAGGATGCTTTTAAGCAAGGGTTAGGAAAGATTTTGCCCCTCCCCCCCGGCCCAAGTGGACTGCAAATAACAAGAAGTACAACACTTACTTTGAAGTAACAATAATAGATAAAATAACCTTGAAATCAAGGAAAAAAAACCCCTGAATTACCATATTCCATAACTATTCTATAGTCCCATTCCTATTTCCTGGCTCTTGACTGCATGAAGCATATTTCTCCCTGTTGAAAGACATGAGTGGGAGTCTAATTGACTAAACCAATAATTTTCAAACCTTGTGGGAGGTGGTTAATACCAAAAGGGTCTGGCATCATGTTTATTTTTTTTAAATTTTAGCTTCTTATCTTTTATGTATTTCTGAGTGGTAAGCAGGTAAGGCCAAGGTGCCATCAAGCTTATGCCCTGCAGATTAGCAGATGAACAACACCCATTTCTAGAATCTAGGCTCTACAACTATTATAAAGAAACCAATAACTTTATCTTGGTTTTTGACTGGCTTGATGGAACTTTCTCCTTTAGGGTTTGGTCGAATGAAAGCTGATTTATTTACTGAAGTCAATATCCATGATTATTACTTGGCAATTGTTGCTCAGGAGACCATGAGAACTGAGGGAGCAACTGCCATTGCATTCACAGGACTAACCTGCTGCACCAGAATTGGATCTGTGAATTGGTTTTCTTTCACCTGCACTTGTTCAATCAGTTCTCAGAAAGAATTACTAGAAAATAAATTTTTCCAGAAAGCATCTCTGAAAACAAATCTCAGGTTGGCCTGCCTGAAACAAAGAGTCTTGTGAAAATCTGTTGCTCATGCTTCTCTGGAAATCTTCCACTATGTTCCTGGCACAGCAATAGGCAGAGGAACAATATCTTGGTGTTTTGTTCTAGGTGGTGGATGTTCAGGACAGAACTATTGACACCTACTTGGAAGATGTTATCCTGAGCAGCATGGAGAGGGCAGCTGAAGAGCAAGCCAGGGAAGAGATTCAGAAAAGGGCTGTAGAAATCAATGACATTGCTTACGAAATGGAGAGTCGGTAGGTCATTAAACAGCACGTGAGGGGCTGTTCACAGCAGCTTAGAACCTGCCTGACCATGTGCATCTGTGGCTGTGTGCATCACCCGAGCCATGGGAAGGGCAGAGCACTGCTGCTCGTGGTCACTTCATTAGTGTGGCTGCTGTATGGGAACCACGCTGCTCCTACCTGCTACACACTTATAAATCCATCAGAGCCTTATTTCCATACAGCATGTGCCAGGTTCCCTTTGCAAATCACTTGTGTGATCTGTGAATCACCCTTTTTAGATTTCTCCACACCAGTGTGAGGCTGTGACTGAGCTTTTAAGTGAATCTGGGAACAGCCTAAAGCAAAACCCATTCATACTGATCTTTTCATTTATTTACACTACTACAGAAAATCCATTTGAAAGAGATCCTAAAAGATACAGCTATACACAGCCTTTCATTCTGGGGTGGCTGTTCTTTAAGGAGCTGCCAATTTCCATGGAGGTCACTCATATTGATGGCTGCCTGACAAGGCAGTTGGAGTAAAGTAAGTTGTTGAGAACACCACAGTCTGTGTTTGGCTGGGGTATCAGCAGTGAATACTTCTTAGGACCTGCCAAACCCCCGGTTCAGTTTCTATGCTCTTTTTTGGTATTGAGCCATAAAAATCCCAATGACACAGTGACTCTCCTATGGTAGAGCAGCTGTGTATTTTGTATCTGGATGAATACAAGCAGAACGTTGGAATCCTTGGGGGAATGAAGCGTACATAATGCATGCAGCCCCTGAGCCAACTGAGAACCCACCAAACACTGGCATGGAAAAGAGCATGGGGGCCAGCCAAGTGCAGAGTCACAAAAGGGAGGAATTTAGCAAACTCAGCAATGGACCAAAGACTAAATTGAGCAAGACACAAACCCTCAGCGATATCCGTGTGCCTAACTCAGTTTGTCATCAGAGGGAACTGAGCTTCTCAGTACCTTTGAGAATAAGGAATGTAGGGTGATCCTGCTTTCCAAGGCACTGTTGAACACACTGGCAGTGCAAAAGGGAATAGTCACACTGTCACCTATTTGTAGGATAAAGAGAGACCCAGCTGACTACTGCTGCCGTGACAATACACTCCCTTGGAAAGGGTGAGGATATTTACAAGGGAGACCTGTTTTTGCAGAGGTGGTCTGGAGAGAAAATTTAAATACTAATACCACTGTGCATCTGTCCTGCAGTCGAACTCGCCTACAGTCAGAAGAGATTGTAGCAGAGCTGGTTTATAATTTCCTGATCCCAGAAGCTGAGAAAAACTTTATGAGAGAAAGAGGTAAGGAGTCCAGTAACTTTATTTTCTTTGTGAACTGGTTCACTCTCCTTATTCTAGCTCCCTGAAAGGAATGATGCAGCCAAGAGTTGTCTCAGTTCCCTGAGATTCCTTTTTGGCACTCTGCAGGTAGAAAGTTAAGCTCTTTCATTCTTTTTTCTCCAGTTTCTCATGAGCTTTAGTCTTTTTAAATGGTGACTGAAATTCAGACCTGCTGTAAGATCTGGCATGTGCTTTTGCCAAGAAAGTTTAGATCAAATAATCCTTGAGGTACCTTCCAACCTGGCTTGCTATGATAAATTTGGTGTATCTGCAACAATAAAACTGCATGAAAAGAAGCAGCCCATTGCACATTCAGAACAAAACTGCTAAAAATCTTTAAGTAGCACAGCTGTGAATTGTGTTACTGTATGGCAATTTCTAAAACTAAACAAATTTTTAACAAGCAAATTACTTAAATATGTGTCATATATAAAAGGAAGGCTATACACTTTCCTATGCTTCCCTCTCCTCCCCTGTGGGCTGAGAGCAAGAGGTAAAGATTTTAGGTTGGCTGTAGTGGCATCATGTTTTAAGGAGACAACCTTGCAGTAGTAAAGGATGTTTCTGTTTAACAAAAATAGAATAGCATCTGTCATCTATAGAGGGGTAGACCCAGGAAAGCTGTGTATTACAATAAGTAATGTCATGAGTAAGTGGCTGCTCCTGACTGGGATGTTTCCACTGACCAGCACAGGTGGAAGATCTTTACTTCTGCAGTCACCCACAGAAAGTGAATATGACCTAAGCAAAGCAACTGCATCACAATACAGCTTGAAAGAGTCCTTGCTGCAGTGCTCTTCTCTGCCTTGAGAACAAAGGCACTTAGTTCATTGCCTCTTTTATTGCGTTGTGAATGAGAACACAAACCCTGAGTACGCAGTTTGTGGTCTCTGAATTGTGCAAACTTTCTTCTTCCTATCCTATTGCCACAACAACAGGACCTGCTCTGCAGCTGGCGTTTCTGCACAAGCTTAAATCAGCTCCCTTCACTCTAGCACTGCTTCTGCCAGCCTTCCAGAGCAGGTGATGTAATGGTAGTCAGTGAAGCCTGCAGCCCAGGCACTAACACACACAGGTTCACCTGTCTCAGAAAGGAGAGCAGAAAGAAGACCTGGACATGGCTTAGGATTCTGGACATACTGAGGACATACACCAAGGCCCCCAAAATACATACTGGGCTTAAATGCAGCAGCAGCTGATGAACAAAGCACCTCAGATGCACTCTCAAACAACAGAAGAAAAAAAAAATCTTCAGAATCTGTGATAGCTACTGTGAGTTTGCCTGGAAAGCAGAGCTAGACCAAATTAAAAATTAAAGTGGATGCTGGTGGAATAGAGCAGCAGGCAGTTTAGTAAGAGAGCTCCTTCTAATGTGATCAGGAGAAATTTGCCACAATATTCTTGTGATGGCAGAAATCAAATGTCAGGAAGAGACCTGGCTCATACTCTCTTCTGCTATTGCTGCATGGGGTGGAGGGAGCTCCATTCACTTAAGACAGCTGAATTCTCCCTGATGTACACTCTGATGAACACACCCTGCTGTAAACGTCCTGCAGAGTGATACTTTCAGGGAAACAGAATCATTAACTATTCCATGGAAATCCAAAGGAAATAGTATGAAAGAATGGCATTAGATTTCAAAAACACATTAGTGTATTGTATTGTATTTCTGTGGTGTCTTTTAAAGCTTTCCCTACAGTGAGCCAAATTATTCATTATGAAACTGTGTTTTAGCAGCCTGGCCCATGCCTGAGCATTCACCTTCCTTGAAGCTATCAGGAAGTGATCTAAGAGCACAGTTATCTGGCCTGTCAAAGGACCAAATCCATTTGTAGAGCAATGATTTGAGGGCTGCAGGTCAGTCTTTGCCTACACTTTAGCTTCCCCTTAAACACCTGTTTTGCCATTACCTAGTTTGGGATTTTTTTTCCTCCTCATTTTGTTGCATTTTGATGCATAAAAGCAGGGCTTATCCAATACTGGCTCACCCTGAAAAACCTCTGCACGTCAGTTCTGAGCCCTGTCTCAGTGGAAGTAGAAGTCACTGTGCTGATATGAAAAACCTCACTTGGAAAAGGACAGTCACTTGCCAGTTTCAGCACTCTGTCCTTTAGATGGAATTCACTGTGGATGGAGAAAGGGACTGCAGCAATTCCAGGGGAGTATTCCCAGTATAGCTGATGCAGTTGATGCAAGCAGGATTGAAGCCAAAATGCCTTGGGTAGAGAAGCCTCTCCTGGGAATGAGGGCTGGCTGATGGAGGTCAGCTTTTCAAATGCAAGTGAGATCCAGTTGCATTCATTGTTGACAAAGTGGACCTGGGAGATGGATAAACATAAACAGGGTGGGTTGGTAACGCTGAGTGACTGAGACAGGGACAGCAGAACTGTGTGCCAGCATGCAGGACACCAGTGCTTCAGATTCACAAAGTGCAGCTCAGCCTTGGAACAGGGCAAAGTCTTGGACCTGTGTAGGGAAGTGACAGGATAAGAGCCATGCCTTGTTCCTGCATCATTCCTCACACCCTCCATAAGGCACACGGTCCTTCAGTCCCTGTGAGTGAAATAAAGAGGGAAAAGGCGAACAAGGAATAGTGAAGAGCTATAAAGAGAGCTGTAGGGTGATCACTTAGGCTTGGGTAATTATTTCCAGGTGGTGGGTTGGAAATACATGCAAATGACTTTGGATGAAAGGAGACAATCCTGCAGTAGCTGAGGGGCAGGGAACTTCATGTGTCAGCTGTGGCTCCAAGTCTTACTTGGAACTCAGTAAGAGTTTCTCAGTGCAGGTCAAATCCTGGCACAGGAGATGGCAGATATCAGCTGGATTCTTCCAGAGGCTTGCTGCAATTAACAGACACTGAAGGAGAAGTTATTTTAAAGCCTGATAATATATCCTGGCCAGTTGTTCCCAAAGCTAGAAAGGAGAACGCTTTGGCTGTGCTTCCCACTGTGGGGGCCAGTCTTCGAAGGGAAATGCAAAGTTGGTTGCTGCTATTAGGTGGCAGTAGAACGCTTTCAGCCAGAGTTAGAAGGGCATGATTTTTTTCATGAGAGAGTTTTCCACAGCCGCAGGATTGCTAAAAGCTACTCCTCCCTTCTCCCCTACAGAGAACACTTTGCTGTACATTTCCAAGTAAAAGCCTTACCTCTTTTTTTTGCACAGTGAGGCAGTCCCAAAGAAAACACATCTACGCTGCTCATCGGATTATCCACGGGGGCACAGAGAGGGCTCTGGCTGATCTGGCACAGCATCAGGAGACATCTGGCACCAAGAGAGAGGAAGATTCTCCTGCTGGGACCCCCAGCACAGCTCTGAGTGAGACAGCTGCTGAACCAAGTGCAGCTGACAGCACTCACCCTGCCACAGTTGCACGTGAAGTTGGACAAGGCTTCCACAAGGATCCCACAGCGTCCTAGGACAGAAGATGAGTGAGGTGGGTTTCCCTTCCCCTCTATGATTTGAGTTTGGAGCATGGTGAGGGAAAGGGAAGTACATTATATTTACTTTTTCAGGGCACCCTGAATGGAAAACCCTCTCTCTCCCTTGGGCTGTCCCTTCTGCTGCCTGCCAGCAGTGTTGTCCTGGAATCAATCTGTGTACATTTTGGTGTGGCAGCTACCTCCACTCCCTCCCCAACTTGCTTTGGACTTCATTAGCTAATTTTTCTGTTCTGATTATTTAGAGAAGCTTGAATGAGAAAGCAGTGTTAGCATTCCTTGTTTGTTTTCCTGGCACAGACAAATAAAAATCTGCACCTGGGCTTTTGGTGGTATTTCCTTGCTTCAATAACATTAAATGAAAAAATAGTCAATAAGTGGAAAATTTTGAGTTGAGACCATCCATAGACAAGTGTGTCCCACTGATTTCTTTAGTGGTTTAAGGCCCAGGGGCTTCCTGCATTAGCACTGCTATTTATAAAGCACAGGAGCTGAACAAAAACACTCGGGTCATCTTTTTACATTATTAGTCCTTGGAGAAAGAAGAGGTGCCCCTGACCTCAGCAGGGTGGTTTCTGACAAGCAGGCAGTGTCTGGCACAAACCTAGGTGCCTAGGTGATGGCAGGGTGACACGGGCATGGTGGGGCTGATGCATTTTCCAGAAGTGTTCCTCTTCGGGCTGACTGCTTCCTGCTTTTATCACTGCAAAGAGCAATTCTGGAAAGAATCTGCTTGTTCTTGGAACAGTGTTAGTCCCTCTGGCTCTCCAGCTTCAAGGGCTACACAGAAAGGATGCTGGCTTTGCTGTGTGCTGGCTTTGCCGTGTTTGCAGGCACAGGGGTGCTCCAGCTCCAGCTCCAGATGTCGGGAAGCAGCGGTCTCCGACAGGCACAGTGCATCTCCCACAGAGCTCAAGGCTTGCTCAGCACTCCAGCACTCACGTGTCAGAATTCCCGAGGGCTGTGGCCTTAGGGCATAAAGGGACATTTACACCAAGCACCGCATTTTGGAGGGGCGGGCACAGCCACACCACCACACCCAAAATGCTCATTCATTGATGGCTCCAGCTTACACGGCCAACAGCAGTGCTGGCCCTCAGTGCTGCGGCAGTAATGGGCTGATCTCTCCCTGCTGCCATCATTTCTCCCTGTGGATCATCTTTTCCTTGTCCTGGGTCTGTAAAGCTCAGGTGTGGTTTGGCTAATCCCAGCCATAGTGCCTCTCCTACACAAACCAGCAGCTGGTCAAAAATGGTGCTCATTAACGCATTCCTGTAAGGATTCTGCATTGGGTCTTTGTTTTGTGGGTTAGGCTGGGGCAGGGTACAGGAAAAGGAATTTACAGGGAGGTAAGAGGGAGGAGAAAGGAGTCTGGATACCCCTGTATTCCACTGGGGAATAAATAACAGCTGGAGAGAGGAAAAAGAGCTGTACCAAACCACTGCTGGTCTCCAGGTTGCTGAACCACGGGACTGCTGGAGTCAGGCAGCCTCTGTAAATGCTGCAACATCTGGCAGGAGTCAGAGAGAGGTGACCAGTTTTGGTGAGGACTCTGTAAGGATGATCCCATCAGGGACTGGGGATCTGGAGCAATTCTCATGGTATTTGTAGCTAGTCAGTAAAAGGAAAGGTTGCAAATACAAAAATACAGAACAAAACACTCTGCACAGTGTGGGAGGAGAAGCTGTGCAGGCATCGGCCCTGTAGCCTCAGGCCACCTTGCACAAATTTAGCCTGGTTAAAAGGAGGGGGGAATAACGTGAATCACAAGATCCAGTGTAATAGGAGAGACATGGAAAACTTGATGCAGCAGAACAGTGGAACAGGAAGACCCATCCACTGAGGCATTTGCTGTATTTCTGAAGATGGTCTGGCAAAATAAACGTTCTGCATGTGGCTCACTGTACAATTTGATGTGGTTTTATAAAGATAAGCATTCCAGCAGGTGTGGGAATGGACAGAGGTTGCAGCACTTTGGTCTTCTGTAGGGATACAGCCTTGCATGACATGAAGGGGCAGGGGACTCCAGATGCTGTGCACAGGCTGAGCTATAAATGTCCCAGCCTCTATTATGATTTAAGGGACACCATCAGGGTAAAGCCATCTTTTTCACACGACATTGCCTAGCATGTAAACTGAAGGCCATGGCAGGATTCCTGCAGGAAACTCTTCCGTAGAAACTGCTTTCAATTGTCATGTGGGTTTTTTTTCTCAAGCTTTGCAGAATGTACTTTTGAGAAAGAAAATGAGTGCAGTGAGAGGGAATTGGGATCATAAATCAACAGCACAAGAATGCAGCATTCCCTCTCCTAGCAGGAGGCAGAACAACCCTGGGGAGGAGCCCATACCCGAAACAAACACAGCAGATGCCTCCAGGGCTGCACCAATACACTGCAAACACGGGGAAAATTCAGCTTGTCCCTTTTCTTTCACCAGCTGCCCACAGGGAGGGAGCCTGGCTGTGCTGCTCTGCTGGCTCCTGTCTCCTCGCAGGTGGGGGAGACAGGACTGAGCCAAACGGGCCTCTGGGGTCACTGTGCCCTGAGAATGGTGAAACATTGGTCTCTGCAGTAAATTAATGAATGCAAATTGTCCCAGGGCTTCCCTGCTGATACAGCTCTGGTGGTGTGGGAGGAGAAAATCCTGTGGCACCAAGAACAGTTCAGCAAAAAGGACTTGGGGCCCTTCTTTACTGGAAACGTACAGTGTCTGCATTTCTGTCAACAGAAAACCACACCAAACCCACACTCCCCCATCTCTCCTGCCTCCCTTAAAAGCAATATGAGCATCACAAACGCTGCAGCCATAGACCTGGGTGTGGTGCTGTTCAAAGAGTTCCTGCCACTTTCTGAGCACAGCTGTTCCCTCTGCTCTTGGTCTTGCAAGTGTACAGGATTTGCCTTATACTTCATTGGGCTCAATTCAGCCCTCACACCATTTTTTTAGGAGGGTGGGATTAACCCTGCAAGTATGATCCTCACGTGCTCAAGGCTTTTAACAAGGCCCAGTTGCATTATTGCTGACTATCTCCTCCAAGTCCTGTTTCCCCGCCTTCACCAAAGTCCAGCTCATGCAACTCTTCCTGTGTTTTAATGATTGGTGCATCAGTATTGTGCTGGCATCCAGCCTCCTCACCACAGCGCCCTCCAGAATCGGGCCTGGGCTTGGATGGGGAGCTGTTCTTTCCTGTGCCTGCCTTCCATCCCACCAGAGAGGTGGGAATCGGTTTGAACACCTGCCAAAACTGCCAACTCCCCGAGACAGAATGTGCACACCTGGATTAGTAAATCCAATTTTCCCGGGACCACCCTGGACCAAGGCTCCCACCTCTCCTCCCAGCCACTGCCTGGAGCAGAACTGGCAAGGAAAGCACCTCAGCAGACACTGTTTGCGTGAGCCAGAAAACGCCAGCAGGCCGAGGGCAAGGGTGTACGCTGAAAGCCGTGGAGCAGGGCAGCTCCGGCTCCCTGCTCTGATCCTATCACTCATTCCTCTCATTCCCATTTTCTCCCACACGCTGCATCAACCCCACACACCTTTTCCTCCACTTCTGGCTGGAGTCAAGGCCACTGGCCTCCTCCTGTGTGCCACATCCCAATCCTTCAAGCAGCACTTGGAAGCGATGTCCTATTCCCCTTTCCTTCCTGCAGGGCTGCTTACCTGTATCCACATGCGCTGCCTGGCTCAGCACAGCATCCCCAAGGGACCTGAGAGCTGTGGCTGCTCCTGCCAGCACCCACTGTTGCAGCTGCCCACTGCTGTGCAGCAGTTTGGACCCACTGCAGAGCCTGGCCAGATGGGATTTATCCCCTCCAGTTCCCCCAGTGGGGAGCTTGCATGGCAGCCTGCACTCCTGGCCATCCTGGAGCTCCTCGGTCAGTGCTGGGGATGTTGGTTCTTGTCCTTGGGGAGTGGCCAGGAGCATGCAGTGCCCCTGCAGTGCTGATTGCAGTGAGACAAAGGTGGCAGAGACTTGAAAGCTGCATTTGCTGCTCTCTCCATGGCTTACTGCAGGATTGATCCTGAATCTGCCTTTTGCTTGTTACTGAGCCAGTAACAGCCTCTTGCAAACACCCTGTTGGTTCCTTACCTGTTGAATTGAAGCCTCGCTCTGCCTGCCAACATAATTTTTCTGCCTCCAGCTGAACGAAAATCATTTTTTCATTGCTGTGCGGGCCCCAAATCTGTTGTCTCCAGCAGAAACATCTTCCATTGACCAACCTCTTCCTAGGCCTGGTGCTGTGAAACTAAAATCCTAAAAGAGGTGTAACTGAGATGGTCCAAAGAGTCCCCAGCTGGGCAGTCCCTTTTCCCAAGGCTGCTAACTTATGGCAGCATTCCAAACAACATCAATGATCTCCTTGAGTAAAAACGCTCTCAAACCACCTGGGTTTTTCCGGTAAGCACCATCTTCCTCCTGAGCACTCTGGCTTGGCAAAGGATTTGGTTACAGGAATGAGCTGCACAAGGGAGGAGGAGGGCACGGCTGCTGTTATGCCAGAGGAAACAATCGTAGAATTGTTTAGGCTGTAGGGGACCTCTGAAGTCACCAAGTCCAACCATTAACCCAGCACTGCCAGTCCACCACTAAGCCGTGTCCCCAAGTGTCACGTCTTGTTAAGTATCTCCAAGGACAGTGGGTGACTTCACCACTTCCCTAGGCAGCCTGCTCCAAGGCTTGACAACCCTTTCCATGAAGAATTTTTTTTCCCAGCATCCAATGTGAACCTTTCCTGGTGCAACTCGAGGCCATTTCCTCTTGTCCTCTTGCTTGTTACCTGGGAGAGGAGACCGACCCCCACCTGGCTGTAGCCTGCCCTTGGGGACTTGTGGAGGCTGATCATGGGATCTGGTGTGGGGGTGGGAATGCCCTTTGCTTCCTCTCAAGCTCCCGTGCTGCTCCCACCACACACCTGACCCTGTCTCACTCCCCGCAGCCCCCGTGTCCCCCTGGCAGCAGCAGGTGTCTGGACCCTGTGACAGCTCAGCGCTTGGAGGTGAGGTAAAGCACAGGGAGGTCAAGCAGCCATGACAATGAACAGTCCTGCTCCAACTCCTGCCTCCCATCAGTTTTTAGAAACTTTGCTTAGGGAAAAAAAAAAAAACAAACCAAAACAAAACCAACCAAAAAGCCCAAACCCTTCAGTCTCTCTGCTTAGCAATCCTTTTCATTCTCAGTTCCCTGGGCCTGTGGCTCCTCTGCTGGGACAGGCAGCTCTGCCTGGGGACAGGGCTTGTTTGCCCACAGCCACATGTTCTCACTCTGCACAAGCAAGGGGGCTCTGCAGCCAGCCCTGGCCTTGGGCACACTGCCCACTGCTC